TTAGAGGAAATTGCTTTATCTTTTCACCATTAAGTATAATGCTGGCTGTAGGTTTGTCATATATAGTCCTTATTATATTGACAAATGTTCCATGTATTGCTAGTTTTTCCTCAGCCTTTATCATAAAAAGGTGTTGGATCTTGTCAAATGCTTTTTCTGCATCTATTGAGATAACCATGTGGTTCTCATCCTTGCTCTTGTTGATGTAATGAATTATATTAATTGTTTTGCATACATTAAACCAGCTTTGCATCCCTGAAATGAATCCTGTTTGATCGTGGTGTATGATTCTTTTGATGAGTTGTAGCTTCTTAAAATGTAGATAATAGAGTTCAGATAATAGATCTAAAAAGGGTCTAGTTATCAAGTGTTGACAAGTAGCTAGATTACAATCATGAAGCAGAAAGCCCAGGCTTAATTTTTCCCTTCTTAGCTGATAAAAATTTAACTACATGCAACTCTATGAATTCTTTTTTTTTTTCTTTTTCGCCGGTCATGGGGCCTGAATTCTGGGTCTGAGTGCTGTCCCTCAACTCTTCATCTCAAGGCAAGCGCTTACCACTTGAGCCACAGTGCCACTTCCAGCTTTTTTCTGCTTATGTGGTGCTGAGGAATCGAACCCAGGGCCTCATGCATGCAAGGCAAGCATTCTACCACTGAGCCAAACTTCGTAGGCCCAACTCTATGAATTTTAATGAATTAATAAAACCTCAAGCACTGAGTGAAACAGCATATCCTGTGGCCAAGATTTGTTTGAATTGGAGTGGTTGAATTAGATCCTAAATGTATTTTATTCTTTTCTCTACCAATGGAGACTCTTTGTAGGAATATAAGTAAGTTCTAAGCTGGCCACAGGATCCAAGTAAAGAGTCTCCATAGGAAGAGAAATGTATTCTATTACTCTGGCTTCTTACACAATCCAACTGGCAAATACAATATTGCTGGGAGAAAGAGCTTTTATTTGAGAACCTGAATTGGTTTGGTACTGGCTCAGAAAAAATGCAAAGGTCTTTGAATTATGCCAGAGACTCCAAATACAAACCATATTTATAGTTAATTGATTTTCAACAAATGTTGAAAAACAATAAAATGGCAAAACAATTGTCTTTTTAGCAAGCAATGGTTCTAGGATGCCTGAATATCTTTATGCAAAAGAATGAACTTCCATTCCTATCATATTCTACATATAAGAGAGAATGCGAAAGTAAGATTTATTAAAATGCTTAGAAAACAGTCATATTTCTTGAGATTGGATCTATGATGGGACAACAAAGCTTACACAAATTAAGATTATCCAATACTATTGTACTTATAGAGATACTATAAATTGAAACAACAAGTACCAGAGTGGCAAATTTTTTTTAAATTTTATTTTATTGTCAAGGTGATGTGCAGAGGAGTTACATTTACATACGTAAGGTAGTGAGTACATTTCTTAATGAACATTGTTACCTCCTCCCTTGTATTTTTCCAACTTTTCCTCCCCCCCAAACCCTCCCCCAAAGTTGTAAAGTTAATTTCCAACATATTGTCTTGTGAGTATCACTGTGGGATTGGTTTACCCTTTTTTCTTTGTCTCACAATTTTGTTGTTCCCCTTCCCTTCCCTGATTCAGATTAAATGTATGTACAACATACAAGGTACCAAAATCAAATACAGTGACAACAGGGGATAAACCAGGGGCAGGAGTGGGGGAAAAGAAAGCAAAAAGAAATAACTTCACATAGTACATTTTAAAAAAATGACAAAGAAAAACCTTTTGCTTCCATATCTTGGAGTTCATTTCATTTAGCATAATCTTAATGATCATATGTACATAGCTATTAAGCTACTGTGATCTTCTCCTAGGACTATCCTAGACATATACTAATTATTACAAATGTGGGAAACCATAGGACCTATGTTTCTTTGAGTCTGGTTTACTTCACTTAATATGATTTTTCCAAGTCTTTCCATTTCCTTACAAATGGAGCAATGTCCTTCTTTCTGTTTGGAGCATAGAATTCCATTGTGTATATATACCAAATTTTCTTGATACATTCATCTACTAAGGGCATTTGGATTGGTTCCATATCTTAGATATAGTAAGTAATGCTGCAATGAACATGGTCATGCTGGTAGCTTTAGTAGCTTTGTTTGTGGTCATTTGGGTAAATGCCCAGAAGTGAGATTGCTGTGGCATAGGGAATCTCTGGGAGGTTCTGAGGAACCTCCACATTGCTTTCCAATGAAATGAGTTGAATTTTACATTCACACAACAGTGTAGTAGCATTCCCTTTTAGCCACATACTCTCCAGCAACTGTTGTTATTATTAGATTTCTTGATAATGACCATTCTAGTGGAATCTCAATGTTGTTTTGATTTGCATTTCTTTTGTGGACAGAGATATTGAGCATTTCTTCATGTGTCTATTTGTCATTCTTATTTCCTCTTCAAAGAAAATGTCTTTAGCCCACTTATTAATGGGGTGGTTGTTTCTTTGAGGATTTGTTTTTGGGGAATTTAATTTTTGAGTTCTAAGGATATTTTAGATCTGAGGCCCTTGTCTGTTGTATAGCTAGTGAAGATCTCCCAATCTGTGGGCTTTATATTTGTCTTGCTAGCTATGTCCCTTGCCATGCAGAAGCTCTACAGTTTAATGCAATCCCATTTGTCCAACCTGTGATTTGTTGTGTTTCTGGGTCTCTATTAAGAAAGTTTCAACCTGTGCCAAGGATCCTTGGTGTTTCTCCTATCCTTTCTGTAATATTTTCAGGGTTTCCGCTTTTAGCTCGAGGACTTTGTTCCATTTGGAATTGATTCTGGTGCAGAGTGATATATAAGGATTTAGTTTTCTACAAGTGTTTAACCAATCAGCAGAAAATATTTTAAACCAATGTATCTGATAAAAGATTTTTAGTTGGGATATACAGAAGACTATTAAAAGTAAAAATTAAAAATAATACAATTTGAAAGGAACTTAAAGAGATGTTTCTCAAAAAAAAGCTATACAGTTGATTTACTAGCACATGAAAAGCATGTGCTCAACCTCATCTGGATTGTGCAGACAAAAACCTCTGTGGTGTAACACTTCAAATAGTGGGATGCCAGTGAAATGGACAATGGTATGGACAATTTGGAAAACACATCAACACTGGCATTTCCTCAAAGCTTCACAGATACATTACTCAATCACTCCCCTTACATGTCCACAGCAGAATTAGTAGCAAAATCCCGAAGTAGAAAATAACAAAAAGATCCATCAGCTGATGAATATAAATATACATAAATATATAGTATATGCTTGCAATGGGTTATGACTCAGCCTTAAGAAATTAAGTAGATATACTTCCTGCTACCAACATTATCATTGTAAACATTATTCCAAGTAAATAAAGTCCAAAAAAAGCTAGATCACAGATTGAGTGATTCCATTTATATGAATTTCCAAACTATGCATCGAGGACAGGAGACTGGTAGCCTCCAAAGCTGACCAAGAAAAGGACTAGCTGATAGTTAAAAGATTCTGGACTTCATTTTAGGACAATAAAAATATTTTTAGATTAAAGTGATAACCATATAACTCAGAAAATCCTAAAAACTGATGTGTTGTATTCTGATTATGTTCATGCTTTCATTTATACCTTAAGGGTGTTACCCAATAAAAACTGACTTTGTCATAATAATTTGAGATCATCTCATGATGCATGGCTTAGCTTTGTATCATTTGCTAGAATGTAAGACAAGAAAAAAAAGGTTTCCCTTCTCAGAGAAATGGTATAATTTTTTCACTGAAATCAGGTTCATAAAATATTAAATCCTTATTTCACTGCTCATAGAAGTTATATTTCCTTCATTTAAAGATTTTTGTTCCAAAAGAGATTATAACTACCTCATGTATCAGCATGTTAACTGAAAGCTCTTTTTCCAGTTTACTTTCTTTTAGATGTTCATCGATATTACACTCTCGATTTTTATTTTCATTTTCCTTCACCTTCTCTTTGGCCATTTTAGGGTGTTCCTTAAACCTGCAGAGTTATAGAATCAGTATGTGATGTTTGATAAAGAGTAAGTATTTACTAATTTTAAACAGATATTATATTTTGTCACAAACAATTTCAATTTTTTCAATTGTAAATTATTATTACATACTTTAACATGATTACAAAATAATGTAAACAATGTTGAAATTTTTATGATATATATGATATGTATGTATGACGTGTGATATGGTATGTATGACAGAAAATTTTATGTTATATATGACAGAGAAAGAGTACATAGTATAACTATATAAAGAATCATTTTAAGTATTAATGTCCATTTGCTATGTTACCATGAAACATTTCCTTATTAAAGATTGGCTATAATCTAAGGATTAATACTTTAAGTGAATAAGTATGGTATACTTATAAGTAAATAAGGATGATATGCATATTTAAGTGTGTTTATAACATCCTAAAATGCACTTTGCGACTGGTTCACTTTTATACAAGCTACTCACACACAAGATGGGATTCAGGAAGTACATTATCTAAGGCCAGTCTGGGAAGAAAGTTAATGACACCTAATCCAAGCTAGATGTGGGTTTCTCATCTATAATCCCAGCTATGTAGAAAGCATCAATAGGAGATCACAGAAGATGAGATACAAAAAAATTCCTAAAAACAGAAATGGCTGGAAGTATGGATGAAGTGTTAGAGCATTTGTCCAGCAAATGTGAACCCTTCTAGTCCAGCCTCTAACTTAAATCCACTTGCAGCTTTGCCTCCCACATAGCTATGATTACAGTCATGTGGCATCACAGCCAGCACTATAGTTTTTAACATCATAAAAGAGAAAACAGTATACTGTGGCATTTAAAAAAAAGAACTGTAATTCTGTCATGAGTTTCTGATCTAAATTCTAAAATAGAATTAACTATTGGTTATAAAATGACTTTATATTTAGCACTTCATAAAACTATTCAATATTTAAACTACTATTAATATTTAAGATATTAAATATTAAGATCTTACTCTTTTTCTAATTCTTCTATTTTCTTCTTCTTTTGAATCAAAGCAATTTCCAACTTCTGTACTGACTCAATAAGTTTCTTTACTAGTTCATCTTCAGTCTTTGAAAGAGTACAAAAATAAATTTCCAAAAATTATAGACAATCACTTTCCTTCTTAGAAATATAATTTATGAGTTTGGGTAACATATATTAAGAAAAGTTAATAAGATGGTTATTTGACATCAATGCTCAAATGAGCTCAAACTGACTTACACACTCATAAACATTACCTTTTATGGAATTTTAGTTGCAGAAAAGTGTTTACTCCTTTATTTATTTAATGTATAGGTAATAAACTCATCATGCATGATTCTACAGATAACTGATTTCAGACTTTTAGTGTGGATTCTTGATTGTTGTCATTTTTACAGTATTATCATGCTGACCAACATGTTTTGTCTTTTTCACAAGCATCAGATTATGTATTTTGTTCCTTTATTTTTCTTAAACTAATTTTCTAGGAAGATATAACATCTAAAAAGTGATATGCGGGGCTGGGAAGGTGGCTCAGTAGTAGAGTGTTTCCCTCGCATGCATGAGGCCCTGGATTCAATTCCTCAGCACCACAGAAAAACCCAGAAGTGGCACTGTGGCTCCTGGCATTGTCATTTATAGAACACTATCAACATAGGCTCATGTTATATATTTGCAAAGTTTGGTAATAAAACAGGAATGATTTATAAATATATGTATATAAAAATCAGTTTTCTTGCTATTTTATCCATGACGAAACAGTCCAAACAAATATTCAAATTCCCCTAATAAGTATGTATATTTTATGTAAAATGAAATTACATTACTCTAGCTATTGTGTCATAAAGAAATTAGGTAATGAAAGCATGGTTCTAGTAATTGAGCACCAAGCATGAGTAAAATCCATGCCAAGCTAGAGCACAAGTTCCTATCTTCAAACCCCAGTACTGGAAGAAAATCAAGAACAGAAAATCAAATAGGAAAAAACAGTTAGGAGTAAAACTACTTCATTAGTTCAATATAGTGTTCGCAAAGCAAATTTATGATACCTATTACCCCCCAAAAAATATGAATAGTAGAGAAATAGCTTTGTTTGGTAAATAATAGTATAGTATCCATTGTACATTCAATAAATTGGCATCCTGAATTCTAGTGCAATCTCCTCTGAGTTTGGAATGTGTATGTCTTCAAAAAAAAGAGCCTGCAATTTTAAAAGCACTAAGTACTCCTGAAGGTCTTTTCAGACAAGCACCATTTTCAAATACTTATTGGTAACTCTTTCTTTTATACATCTATTTTGGGGAATGTTTAAATATTGCCTAAATATTCAGTCGATGGAGAATATGAAGTCACTAAAGGCTTAGATTAAAAGGTAGAATCACGATTTTAGATCAACTATGTAATATCTTGAGATATTTTTTTTTTTGGTCCGGTTGTGGGGCCTGAACTCTGGGCCTGGGCACTGTCCCTCAGTTCTTCAGCTCAAGGCTAGCACAGCGCCACATCCGGCTTTTTTCATTTTGCTTATGTGGTGCTGAGGAATCGAACCAGGGCCTCAGGCATGCAAGGCAAGCGCTCTACCACTGAGCCATCTTCCCAGCCCATCTTGAGATATTTTTAAACTAAGTGTTATCAGAGCACCATTATTGCCAATAGTTAAAAAGTGACTTGTGGGGGAGGGAAAGAGAAAAATGAGGGAAAGGAAACAAGTTTGACAAAAAAAAAAAATGTACTTTTTACCTTACTGTAACTTCTGTACATCTACATAAGTCACATAATTTCTTTAAAGACAGTAAGACTTGTACTACTAATAGCCAGTACTATTGATAGAAATACACAAAATGTTTGTGACTTTGCAAATTGTCTAAGTATTCCTATTACAGTACTTCTAGGGGGGGAAAACTGTTCTTTTCAGGATGAAAAGAATTAACAATAAACTTACTTACCAAATTCCTACCCAACAGTTTTTTCTGTAGCTCTTCAAGTTTCATTGCTAGCTTTTTAATTATATCTTCTAACATGCAATATTCATGTTTAAACCTAGAGGTATTTTAATAAATAATTATTATCACAGATGAATTCTTAAAATGTTATGAACACCAAAAATTAAAAAGAAATAAATAAGTCTTGGTCTAGGAAATTTGTTTAACAGGAGCCTAGCAGAGAACTTCCCAAACATGCAAAAAAAAATAGGCCTATTCAGATACAAGAAGCTTTTAGAACCCCAAATAGACCAGACCAGAACAGGACATCCCACCATCACATTATAATCATCCCACCGTCACATTATAATCCACACAGGATCAATTCAGACCAAGGAAAAGATCCTTAAAGCTGTCAAGGAGAAAAGATCAATCACCTATAAAGGAAAAACAATTAGAATCACCTCAGCTTTCTCAGCAGAGACAATCAAAGCAAGAAGAGCCTGGAATGATATATTCCATACCCTAAAGACAAACAACTATCAACCAAGAATACTGTACCCAGCTAAACTCTCCTTCATAACCGAAGGTCAAATAAAAACCTTCCATAACAAAGAAAAATAAAACAATACATCTCCACCAAACCAACCCTACAAAAGATACTTAAAGATGTCCTACACATACAAAACCAACAAGGCCACAATAAAGGCCAAGAAAAAACACCCAAATTGAGAATCCAAGAACTATAGGAAAAACCCAGTTGCCACAGCCCGCAAGAACGTGGATAAAATGGCAGGAACTCCCAAATACCTCTCAGTCCTATCTCTCAACATTAACGGACTTAACTCTCCAATTAAGTGACATAGACTGTCTAGTTGGATTAAAAAGCAAGATTCTTCTATCTGCTGCCTTCAGGAGTCAGACCTTAACCATAAAAACAAACACATTTTGAAAGTGAAAGGCTGGAACAAAAACTACCAAGAAAATGGCCTCCATAAACAGGCAGGAGTTGCAATCCTAATATCAGATAAAATAAACTTCAAATTAAAATTAGTGAGAAGAGATAAAGAAGGTGGCTACATACTAATTAAGGGATCTCTCCTTCAGGAGAATATTACAATTCTAAATATCTATTTGCCAAACAACAGAGCACCCAAATTTATCCAAGAAACACTACTTTCTCTCAAATCTCACATAGATCCAAAGACATTAATTGTTGGGGACTTTAACAAACCACTATCCCCACTAGATAGATCAACTCGGCAAAAACTCAACCGAGAAACTGCAGATATAAACAACTGCATAGAACAACTAAATTTAACAGACATCTACCGAATATTTCACCCAGCAGCATCAGAATACACTTTTTACTCAGCAGCACATGGAACATTTTCCAAAATAGACCACATTTTAGGTCCAATTTGTCCAAATTCAGAAACATTGAAGTTATACCTTGCATTCTCTCATTCTCTCAGACCACAAGGGAATAAAATTAGAACTCAACACCAAAAGCCACCAAAGAAAGTCCAGTATCACATGGAGGCTGAATAACACACTGTTGAATCACCAGCAGGTCATGAAAGAGATTAGAAATGAAATTCAAATGGTCATGATATTCAACAAAAATGAACACACAAATTACCAGCTCCTCTGGGACACAGCAAAGGCAGTACTCAGAGGCAAGTTTATAGCTCTGAGTTTCTACATCAACAAATTGGATAGATCTGAAACCAACAATTTAATGAGACACCTGAGCCTCCTTGAAAAAGAGCAGCAAGATAAACCCCAATCCAGTATATGGAAAGAAATAATTAAAATTAAATCAGAATTGAATGAATTAGAATCCAAAAAAACCATAGTAAGAATGAACAAAACAAAGAGTTGGTTCTTCAAAAAAAATTAACAAAATTGACAGACTATTAGCAAATCTAATCAGAAAAAGAAAAGAACACACCCAAATAAATAAATTCAGAGATGAGAATGGAAACATCACCACAGAAACAACCAAGATTCAGAATATTATAGGGGAATACTTCTCAAAACTTTATGCTAATAAGTTTGAGGACTTGGCAGAAATGGACCTTTTCCTAGCAAATATCGACATGCCAAAGCTAAACCAAAATGAGTTAAACCACCTTAACAGGCCTATCAACCATTGACATAGAAGTAGCAATAAGAGACCTCCCATCTAAGAAAAGCCCAGTACCAGATGGTTTTACAGTGGAATTCTACAAGACCTTCAAAGCAGAGCTCACACCAATACTCCTCCAACTCTTCAATGAAATTGAAAGTTCACTATCGAACTCTTTCTATGAAACCATCCCAAAACCAGGCAGGGATTCATCAAAGAAAGGGAGCTATGCACCCATTTCTTTGATGAACATCGATGCAAAACTTCTCAACAAAATTTTGGCCAACTGACTTCAACAATTCATCCAAAAAATCATATACCATAATCAAACAGGAATCAATTCAGGGATGAAAAACTGTTTCAATATATGCAAATCAATTAATATAATTCATCACATCAACAAGAGCAAGGCTAAGAACCACATGGTTATCTCAATAGATGCAAAAAAAGCATTTGACAAGATCCAACACCCCTTTATGATGAAGGTTCTGGAAAAATTAGAAATCCATGGAACATTCCTCAATAAAGGCTGTATATGACACACCTACAATCAGCATTATACTCAATGGTGAAAAACTAAAGCCATTTCCTCTTAACTCAGGAACGAGACAAGGATGCCCACTCTCTCCACTTCTCTTTAATCTAGTATTAGAATGCCTAGCTACAGCAATAAGACAAGATGCAAACATAAAGGGGATCCAAATAGGGAAAGATGAAGTAAAACTCTCCCTCTTTGCAGATGACATGATCTTGTATTTAAAGAATCCCATGGACTCCACTCCCAAATTACTCAAGCTGATTCAAAACTTTGGCAAAGTAGCAGGGTATAAAATTAACCCTCAAAAAATCAATGGCTTTTCTGTATGCCAACAATGAGAAAAGTGTGGCTGAAATTAGACAAGCAAATCCATTCGTAACAGCCTCAGAAAAAATAAAATACCTAGGAATTAACTTAACCAAAGAAGCGAAGGACCTCTATGATGAAAACTTTAAAAACTTGAAAAAGGAAATCAAAACAGAACTTAGAAAATGGCAAAACCTCCCATGCTCCTGGATTGGAAGTATCAATGAAATTGGAAGTATCATGAAAATGGCAATACTTCCCAAAGCTATCTACAAATTCAATGTGATACCTATCAATATTCCAACCTCATTCTTCAAGGAAATAGAAGAGGCAATCCAAAAATTCATATGGAACAATAAAAAACCCCGAATAGCTAAAACGATCCTCAACGGAAAGAACGGTGCTGGAGGGATATCAATACCAAATTTCAAACTCTACTACAAAGCCATAGTAATCAAAACAGCTTGGTACTGGCACAAGAACAGACCTCAGGACCAGTGGAATAGAACTGAAAACCCAGAAATGAACCTACAGATCTATAGCCATCTAATCGTTGATAAGGGAACTAAAAAAAAAAATAGAATGGAAGAAAGACAGCCTCTTCAGTAAATGGTGCTGGTAAAATTGGTTAACTACTTGGAGAAAACTAAAGCTATAGCCTTATATATCACCCTGCACCAGAATCAACTCCAAATGGATCAAAGACATCAGAGTTAAAACAGACACTCTGAAAACATTACAGGATGGAATAGGAGAAACACTAGGTCTCCTCGGCACAGGCTGAAATTTTCTTAACAGAGACCCAGAAACACAACAAATCAAAGAAAGGTTGGACAAATGGGATTGCATAAAATTGCAGAGCTTCTGCATGGCAAAGGACATAGCTAGCAAGATCAATAGAAAGCCCACAGATTGGGAGAAGATCTTCACTAGCCATACAACAGACAATGGTCTCATATCAAATAATACTTAGAACTCAAAAAATTAAATCCCCCAAAAACAAATCCTCAAATAAATAAGTGGGCTAAAGACATAAAGAGAAACTTCTCTGAAGAGGAAAGAAGGATGGTCAATAGACACATGAGGAAATGCTCAACCTTTCTAGCCATAAAAGAAATGCAAATCAAAACAACATTGAGATACCACCTCACCCTAGTTAGAATGGCTATAATCAAGAACTCTAATAACAACAGATGCTGGAGGGGGTGTGAACAGAAGGGAACCTTACTGCATTGTTGGCGGGAGTGTAAACTTGTTCAATCACTTTGGAAAACAGTATGGAGGTTCCTCAAAAGACTCCACATATTGCTCCTCTATGACCCACCAATCCCACTTTTGGGCATTTACCCAAAGGAAAACAAAAAAGATCATACTAAAGCTACCAGCACAACTATGTTTATTATAGCATTATTTACCATAGCTAAGATATGGAACCAACCCAGATGTCCCTCAGTAGATGAATGGATCATGAAAATGTGGTATATATATATACAATGGAATTCTATGCCTCTGTCAGAAAGAATGACATTTCCCCATTTGTTAGGAAATGGAAAGACTTGGAAAAAATTATATTAAGTGAAGTAAGCCAGGCCCAAAGAAACATAGGCCCCACAGTTTCCCTTATTTGCAATAACTAGTATATGTCTGAGACAAGCAGAAATGGTTGGATAAGTTGATGTTAGGCGAAATGAACCTCAAGATATGTATTCAAATGTTTTTTTTTCTTTCATGTGATTGTTTCTAACATATTTATAAGATTATTTCTTTTTTGCTTTGTATGTCCCTCGCCCATGGTATAACCCCTGCTTTCACTGTATTTGATGTTGGTATAATTTTTGGAGGGGAAGGGAAAAAACAACTTGTTTAAATAGGAATACACGTGGACCCATTGCAACAATGAAATGTACAAGTCGGTATGTTGAAAAATGAACTTTACAACTTTGGGGGGGGAATGAGGGGTGGGGAAGGTGAGGAGATGGGAAGGGATAGGAAGGGGAAACAAAGGAGGAGGCAAAAATGCTTGATAAGAAATGTACTCATTATCTTGCCCATGTAATTGTAACTCCTCTGTACGGCATTTTCACAATAAAAAAAAAAAAAACAAGGAAAGAAAGAAATAAGTCTGCTAAAATTTGAAAAATAGACAATTCAGAGTTTTTTACTCTTCAAACTATGTTTTGTTGATAATATGCCAAATTTAGAGACAGTGTGTAAATTTATGCATTTTTCTTTGGAGTGCTAGAAATTGAACCCAGCACTCTAGAGATAGTTCAAGTCAAAGATAGAGTGCATGACTTGCACTCTCACTGAACTATATTCCAAATTATTTATTTCACATTATATGACCCTAAAATGCTGCTAGAACTTCATACAGAATACCATAACTAATCCAAATATCATAGTACAATGCTTAATTACTTTATTAATATTCATTAATGTTGCTTAAAACTATACTTTTGTAGGTGATTGTGCATCATCTCAGAACTTTGTACAGCCTCTTTGTCTTGAGCCTCTTCTTCTTGCAACTAAAAGAAAGAAATCTTTACTGATAACCTAGTATCAATTTGACCACCAATTATTTTCAGGCCAAATGTCCTACAACACATCTATCTCCCATTCATCTGCATATTGCTTTGAGAATCTGGCCATTAACTGTGTTGTTCATCACAAAATAGAGAATCAAGTGAGAACTTGTTCAGTGCAGAAAAGGCTGACAAACTAAAGTCAGCCTCCATCAGAAAGAATGACACCACCCCATTTGTTAGGAAATGTAAAGACTTGGAAAACATTATATTAAGTGAAGTAAACCAGGCCCAAAGAAACCTAGGTCCTATGGTTTCCCTTATTTGCAATAACTAGTATATATGTCTGGGACAAGCAGAAAAGGTCAGATAAGATGATGTTAAGCGAAATGAACTCCAAGATAAGGACACAAGTGGTTTTTTTCTTTCTTGCTATTGTTTCTAACATATTTATAAGGTACCATGTGATTTTTTTTGTTGCTTTGTATATCCCTCCCCCACGGTATAACCTGTTTTCACTGTATTTGATGTTGGTATAATTTGGAGAGGGGAAGGGAAAAAACAAATTGTTTAAATAGGGATACAGGTGGACGCATGCAACAATGAGAACAATGAGATGTACACGACACTATGTTGAAAAATGAACTTTATAATTTAGGTGGAGGGGGGAGTGTAGTTGAGGAGGTGAGAGGGAAGGGATGGTAGGGGAAAAAGAAAGGAGGAGGCAACAATGCTTGATAAGAAATGTACTCATTACTTTGCTCATGTAACTGTAACCCTCTGTACAGTATTATCACAATAAAAAAACATAAAAATAAAAATAAATAGTCAGTGAGCGTCAATGGAGTCAGAAAACGTTTCATGAAAAGTAAACTGTGGGCCGGGCACTGATGGCTCACGCCTTAAGCCTAGCTCCTCAGGAGGCTGAGGATTGCAGTTCAAAGCCAGCCCAGACAGGAAAGGCCAGGAGACACTGCACTGATCTCCAATAAACCACCAGGAACCAGAAGTGGTGCTGTGGCTCAAGTGGTAGAGCGCTCGCCTTGAGCTGAAGAGCTAAGAGACAGCACCCAGGCCCAGAGTTCAAGCCCTATGACCAGAAAAAAAAAAAAAAGGTAAATGGTGAGCCAGTAAGGCCAAGGAATCAAAGTTGAGAAGTCAAAAACAACAGTACAATGAACTAAAACTGAGTTAGTTAAATCAGTCCAATTAACTCAAAAGGTAAAATTTATTAGCAGAAAATAAAATTCCAAGCCAGGTGCCAGTGGTTTATGCCTATAATCCTAGCTACTGAGGAGGCTGAGATCTGAGGATTGTGGTTCAAACCCAGGCCAGGCAGGAAAGTCCGTGAGTTCTATGACTGACAACAACAACAAAAAAGTTCACAAAGCACAGTACATATGCCTTATTCACTGATTTATTACAAGTGTCTGGCCAAGTGCAGTCAAAAGTAAATAAAAATAAAATAAATTCCCAAAATCAATATTAAATTCCTGCCCATACTGAGTAAATACCGAGAAGTTGTCATCATGAGTTGTGTTGAAAGTATTTTGGGATCTACTGAATGTTTCTTTGCACTGATTTTTGTTGTACTGTCTCCCCAAAAACAACTGGTGCCCCAAAATCAAAGTAAAAGGTATGACAATCCTCTTAAGGTAAGGCACACAAATAACATGAAAAATTTAGTTCTGTTGAAAGATTAATGTGTTTGGGGGAAGATGGGCATCATTATAGAAAAAATAAATCAAACACCCAAAATACAGTACTGAACGTTACCCATCCAAAGACTATCTTAAGGTAGTCTTAAGAATTGCAAGTTTTGTACAATGATAAAGTTCCTAAACAAAATATTTTTAAGACCTTTTCCACACTGATACATAATAAAATTAGAACTGTTAATTCTTGAAAATCAATTTACCTGTTTGAAATGATAGTTTATCCTGCTAATTTCTATATATAGCATCTTAGCATACATTGCAAGTTGCCCTATTTCTTCTGCATCATTATGATTTCCTTTTTCTCTTAGCACTGTCTCAGTGTTTCCAAAATATTGATCAGCATTGTCTTTCTTCAAATCTTCTTGTTGCAATAGAATTCTACAATACAAATTTAGTTACTTTGGTCATCAGATTGCTTATAATGCTATTTATTATACTAAAGAATTCTCTCTTTTCCTCAGACTTTTCTGGGTTTTTTCTGTTTTTAATTTCTCACTTAAAATTCTTCCAATGCTCATGAATACTATGAAGTTAATAATGAAAGAACAGTCTGCCCCCTTAGCACAGTAGACAGCACATCACTCTCATAATAATGAAAGAACATTTTGTTGACTAAGGTGGTAAGTTTATATAAAGTGCAACTTTGGTAAATATAGAAAAAGCATTCAATATTTCATCAATCCTAGAAGCCGAAAAATATATTTACCACTCAAGTTAATTAGCCTAAAGTAAAACAGGTAATGTAACTAATCTTTTCAAAGTTATTGTTACAAAAGCTTGTATATTAACTTGAGATAAAAATTATCATCAAGGGGCTGGGAAGGTGGCTCAGTGGTAGAGTGCTTGCCTTGCATGCCTGAGGCCCTGGGTTCGATTCCTCAGACCACATAAGCAAAAAGAAAAAAGCTGGAAGTAGCGCTGTGGCTCAAGTGGTAGAGCGCTAGCCTTGAGCTGAAGAGCTGAGGGACAGCACCCAGGCCCAGAGTTCAGGCCTCACGACCGGACCAAAAAAAAAAAATTATCATCAAGACATTACAGGCACAGTTAAAAGATTTATAGTGTATTTGTCCTCTATAATGCATCTACTGATTTATACTACACAATACCACTTAAAGATGGTTTTGACACAAGAATTACCATATTATTAAAATCAAGATTAGAAGGAAGAGTGTAAAATATTTTACTCATTTCTGGTTATTTTCTGCTAACATGTTATATAGTATTTTCTATCATGGGGAATTTAAACATCTGTCTTTGGGACAATCCAGAAGCATAGAATTATTTCAATAAAAAAATTAATATGATCATTCAGCATAAAATCTTGAATAATCAGTATTTTATTTCTGTATTTTTACTTACATATTAAAAATAAAATAAATTATTTTTATTAACTTTAAGTAGTTGTACAAACGACTTACCATTCAACAAAGCAATTTATGAATGCAAAATGTCTTAATCTAAGTCACCTTTTTCAACATTTTCACCCATCTCTCCCAACCCACCCTTCCCTCAATTTTCTCAAGAATGAAATTTTATTTGGCTCTATCTCAAGGGGAATTTCTTCAATACATATGAAGCTAATGATTACACACATTACTGAAAATAAATGAATACATAAAATATGCAGCTTATATCTAATTAAAAATTTATTTTGGGGTTGGAAAATTAGTAATTTTATGCTCTTAATGCAGTTGTAAACTAATGCAAGATTTCTTGGGATTAATTTGCATATCTTAACTATAGTCCTTTCTAAAATTTCCTATATTATTTAATTACAAATATACAGAAAAATAAATATATAGAATATATAGAATACAAATTATTTTTATAATTCTAAACTTATATTTAAGAATTCAAAATGTAAATAAAGAAATAATGGAAGTGATAAAAATTAGAAATAAAGAAAAATTTATATTAAGTCTATTCCTTGCAGCATTTATTTAACATAATTACATAAACAAGCCCAAATTCTCATTGTTAAAAAAATAAAAAATAAAAAAACAGGACTCCTCTTAACTGCTATTCTTTTAAATAACTATCAACCTCAGGAATTGGAAGACTATGCACAATTAAAATTTCACAATTAAAAATGTGATTGTTTACACTAAAACATTTTCACTCTGCAAAAATCTAAGCAGGCAAGTCAACACTATCAAAAATCGAATCTAATATATATATATAATATATGTAATACATATTATATAATATATATATTAAAATGAAGAGTTCCAGTCGGGCACTGGTGGCTCACATCTGTAATCCTAGCAACTCAGGATTGTATTGGAAGCCAGGTTGTGGAGGAAAGTCTGTGAGACTTTTATCTCCAATTAACTACCAAAACTCCAGAAGTGAAGCTGTAGCTCAAGTTTAAAGCACTAGAATTGCATCGGAGGAAAGGAGGGGCTCGGTACAACACCCAGGTCCTGAGTTCAAGCCCTAGGTCCAGCACAAAAAAAATTAGTTATGTACATATAACCATATAAATTGATGTTAATCTAAATATATTCCAAGATAATGGAAAGGACAGGTTTGGTTTTTTTGTTGTTGTTTTTGTTGTTGTTATTTTAATGCACTGTGTAACAGAACTTAACAATTCGTTTGTGTCTCCATCTTTTCCTCAATAGGCTGAGAAGACAGACAAGGTTTAATTACCAAAAGTGAGGTCATTTCCTATGTTAGCCACTTTGAGTATGAATATCCTGTCACTTGATATCTGTAGATCAAGGCTGGCACTCTGTCACAGCTCCATTTCTGGCTTTTTGTTGGGGATTAATTGGAGATTTGTTTCCTACCTGAGCTGGTCTTGAATATTGGTCTACAGAGCTCAGCCTCCTGATTAGCTAAGATTACAGACAGGAATCACCAGCATCTATCTGGCTTTCTTATACCCCTGGTAATTTATCTTTATCTTCAAAGCTGGATCCAGTTCGATCCGGCTGGATCCGTCTCAAATCGGCTTGATCCGGTTCGATCCTGCTCCATGTGGCTGGATCCGGCTCAAACCGGCTTGATCCGGTTCGATCCAGCTCGATCTGGCTGGATCCGGCTTAAACCGGCTGGATCCAGTTCAATCCGGCTCAAACCGGCTGGATCCGGTTCGATCCGGTTCAATCCGGCTGGATCCAGCTCAAACCGACTGGATCCAGTTTGATCCGGCTCTAACCGGTTTGATTAAGTTGAATCCAGATTGATCCGGCTCTAACAGGTTTGATCCGGCTCAAACCGGCTGGATCCGGTTCGATCCGGCTTGTTCCAGCTCTAACCGGTTTGATCCGGCTCGAACCGGCTGGATTCAATTCGATCCAGTTTGATCCGGTTCGATCCAGTTGGATCTGGCTGGATCCAGCTCTTTCCGGTTCAATCCAGTTCGATCCGGTTCTAACCGGTTTGATCCGGTTTGGTCCAGTTTGAGCCGGTTAGATCCGGCTGGATATGGTTTGATCCGGCTCTAACTGGTTTGATCCGGTTCGATCCGGCAGGATCCGGTTTCATCTGGTTCGATCGGGTTTGATCCGGTTCGATCTGGCTGGATCCGGTTTGATCCGGTTCGATCCGGATCTAACCAGTTTGATCCAGTTCGATTCGGCTGGATCTGATTCGATCCGGATCCCAGTGGGATCTGGGGAGAACCCATGTCAGTGTGTTCAGACTTAGTTTGGGTCAGCTGAAATTCAGTACAACTGAGACAAATGGGAAGTGGTAAGCCTTGTAGTTTGCCTCCATCTCTCTCACAAACAGAACTTAACAACTTGTTTGTGTCTCCATCTTTTCCTCAATAGGCTGAGAGGTTCTAACCGACGGGATCCAGTTTGATCCAGCTGAATCCGGCTCAAACTGGCTTGATTCGGTTCGAACCCCTAACCGGTTTGAACCGGTTCGAACCAATTTGATCCGGTTCTAACCAGTTTGATCCGGTTTGAACCAGTTCTATCCGGTTTGATCCAGTCTAACCGGTTTGATCCGGTTCTAACCGGTTTCATCCGGTTCTATCCGGTTCTAACCGGTTTGATACGGTTCTAACAGGTTTGAGTTGGTTCTAACCAACGGTTCTATCTGGTTCTAACCAGTTTGATCCAGTTTGAACCGGTTCAGGCCAGTTTGATACGGTTTAAACCGGTTCTAACTGTTTTCATCCGGTTCTAACCGGTTTGATCCGGTTTCAATCGGTTCTAACCGGTTTGATCCGGTTCAAGCCAATTTGATCCGGTTCTAACTGGTTTGAGCCGGTTATAGACGGTTTGATCCGGCTCTATGCGGTTCTAACCAGTTTGATCCGGTTTCATCCGGTTCTAACCGGTTTGATCCGGTTCTAACCGGTGTGATCCCGTTCTAACCGGTGTGATCCCGTTCTATCTGGTTCTAACAGGTTTGATCCGGTTTCATTCGTTTCTGTCCGGTTCTACCTGTTTCCATCCGGTTCGATCCGGTTTCATCCTGTTCTAACCGGTTTGAACCGGTTCTAATCGGTTTAATCTGGTTTTATCCGGTTCTAACCGGTTTGATCCGGTTCTGACCGGTTTGATCGAGTTCTGTTTGAGCCTGTTTCATCCGGTTCAATCCGGTTCTGGCCGGTTTGATCCGGTTCTAGCCAGTTTGATCCGGTTTGATCTGGTTCTATCCAGTTCTAACCAGTTTGATCCAGTTCTAGCCGGTTTGATTCGGTTCTATCCAGTTCTAACAGTTTGATCCCATTCTAACTGGTTTGATCCGGTTCTATCCAGTTCTCACCAGTTTGATCCGGTTCTAGCCAGTTTGATCCGATTCTAACCGGTTTGATCTGGTTCTATCCCGTTCTGACCAGTTTGATCCGGTTCTAACCGGTTTGAGTCGGTTCTAGCCGGTTTGAGCCGGTTTCATCCGGTTCTAACCGGTTTGATCTGGTTTGAACCGGTTCCAACCGGTTTAATCAGATTCTAACCTGTTTGATCCGATTCTAACCGGTTTAATCCGATTCTAACCGGTTTGACAAAGGGTGAACCAATGCAACAGCAATACTGACAAGACACCATGTTGGAAGTGAACTTTACAACTTGGGCAGGGAGGAGTCAGGAAGGGGAAAGGGAAAGTGGGAGAAAAAGTAGAGAGGGGTACCAATGTTCAACAAGAAATGTACTCATTGCTTTACTCATGTAGCTGTAACCCCTCTATATAACACTGTTACAATAAAATTAAAATAAAGAAAAAAAGGTTAATAAAGAACATTTTATTACAATGTATATTTTTAAAGTTCCAAAATTTCTTAATTTTACCTAATATGGCAAATTTCATCCAGTTCACTGTTTTCATCCTCTAATTGAGATTTCACTTCTTCTATCTCTAATAGCTCTTCCTGTGGTCTTCTGATCTTATGTTCCATTATTTTAACTTTTCTTGAAAGCAATGCACATCTACTAATTTTACATTGGATTAGTCTGTCACATGAGTAAAGCAAATCCACAAGATTGGGTGAGTCACCAGCATCTGTATCCAGGAAGTAAAACATTGTCAGAATGTTCATGGTGTCTTTTGAAGAAAAGAAAATTTTTAAGAAACAATGATTTCATGTGACTTCCTGAAATAATGTAACCATTTGTCTGATGTTTATTGTAGTGACCTCAAGTGTTAAGAATATACACCTAAAGGCCATGTGGGAAGCATTTTCCAGGAAGCAGTCCCCTGTACCAGTAAGTTCACTATTGCGGTAAAAAGTGGTTTGCCACTTATTTGGACCACTTATTAAACATTTCTAATGTAATAACTTTTTATCAGGAGGCTTCTAGTCAACAGTAGCCTATTAGTAGATAAGGTTTTGGGGAAGTAAACAATACATGCAAATATATCTGAAAATTCAAATAAAAGACATATTGTTAGGTTTGTCAGATTAGACAAAAAAACTAAATGTATGCAACTAAAACAATACTGTTTAAAAGACTAGGCATATGCCTATAACCTCAGTGTTCAGGAGACTGAGAATTGAGGATCTGAGTTTTAAGGCACTCCAGGACTTGAAAGTCTATGAGATTCCTATCTCCGGAAACCATCAAAAATCTGGAAATGGAGCTGTGGCTCAGGTGCTAGCCTTGAGCAAAACAGCTAAGAGACAGACCTACGCCTTGAATTCAAGCTCCATAATAAAAAAAATTAAATTTAAATTTAAAAAATTAAAATGGACCCATTAGATGAAAAAAATCACATTTGAAAACTTGATGAAACAAGGTTGAGTAACAACCTCAATATTCTTACTAAAGTAGATTCCATAGGAAAAAATACTTCCAGCAACAGTCATTTCATTATCATAAAAGGCTTAATTCATCACATTGATGTCTGTGATAGATGAGGGAAAAAAAAAGTAATCAAAGATGTAAATAAATGGTCATGGATTGAGTTCTTTCAAGAAGCTCTGCTATCACTTTTCACTTTTGCTAGCTAAATGAAGGAAGGTTTTGTCTATGCAGTCCTATTTTTACATACTGTCTTTTGTCTTGCATGAATGAGGAATTTCTCCATAAGTCAGTCTTACCTGTCCCACTAGAAATCTCATTCTCTGGGCAAGGAGTACAAGGAAAGTAACAGGAACTCTTTCCCTCCTGAGGGGATTTCCTGAATCCAGGACCACAACTCTCACTGACTGAGGAGTCTGAGAAAAGTCAGATATTTGTTGTTAACTGCTGTATTGCCCTACTCCTCCTCTTTTTAAAAAGTATTTGGAAAACTGGATCATTAAGAATCACACGCACACACACACACAAAATGTACTCTCACATCTAATCAATTTATAGGATTTTTCAGTGTATATATGACAGGACCCACCTGCACATATCACTACTCCCCACATCATTGTGCTATTACAAGCTAGCTGCATGTATAAGAGGAAGGGCCTAGTAGTGGTAGAAACTTAGATAAGTAGAAGCATTGTACAATTGTATATGAATTATACTGTACATAAATTATTCATGTTACTTTACATTATCTCTCCAACTTACCTGTGAAATGGTGGAAATCAGAGAAGAAAAAATCCTCACATGAGCTTTAAAAGCATGAACTAAAGCACAGAAATCATTTGTGGTCGCTATCCATATCTCAGGGTTAGCATATGTGTTTCTATGCTCTGCCATTACCACAAGATGAGTTCCATGTGTTCAATGTTGCACAGTTTCACCACAGACCCAGAGGTATCAAGACAAAAGACTGTTGTACTCATGCAACACCCAAAATGATCTTTTTATTTTTATAATGATTCTGCTATGTATTTCAGAATACTAGAAAGCTCACTAACAAACATGTAATTTATTTTATATGAGAAATGAATGTTTGCAAATATATTAGTAAATACATATGACTCCTTTACTGTTCAAAACAAAAAGGATTAATTCATCTAAGGGCAATTATTGATTATGAGTCAAATAATAACCTCAAAATGCAAGTAGAAAACTGATTACACTCTCAAAGAAGTAAAACAATTCACCAGTGTTATTTCAGATTCTAGAAACTCAAAATATAATACACAAATAATTATTAACTATACAGCATCATAAGAAATGTAATAGTCAATCATAACCATGCATCTTAACAAATTAGTATATATTTAAAACCATGTATTACATTTTTCATTTTCTTATTTCATTATCTTTAATATATCTTATTAAGGATTTAGTTATAATAACTAAATCCATTTGAAATATTTTCTCTAGTCATGACAACCAAATAAAAAATCAGTGCAAAATAACTCTGGAAAGCACTAAAATTTTTGAATAGTATGTAGCATATATCTAAATAACTTTGAGTCACAAAGACAACTAAAAAGAGAAACATTTTTGAGCTGAATGTACAAAAACATAAAAAAACAGAATTTATGGAATGTCATATGATCTCTGCAGCAGTATAAAGAAAAATTTCTAGCACTGAGTGACAATTTCTGTAACTTATTAACATGCATAATAATGCAAGATGAGTTTCACCATAATACTTCCATTAATGTACACAGTGTACTTTCAATTGGCATCCAGAATGTATTTTGAAACACTTGAAACTTAAATAGAAAATTACTAATTTTTAAATGGGCAAACAGAAATGAAAATTTTTATTCACCAAAGAAGCCATGATAATGAAAAAATAAGAATATAAGATGCTCAACATTTTTAGCCATTAAGACCAGATAGAAGCTGGGAACCAGGCCGTAATTCTAGCTATTCAGGAGACTGATACCTGAGGGTCATGATTCAAAGCCAGCAGTCCAGGAAACTTCTTATATCCAATTAACTTCCAACGTTTGGAAGTGGAGCTGTGGCTCAAGTGGTAGAATGCAAGCCTTGAGCAAAAAAGCTCAGAAGCAGAGCTCAGGCCAGCAATTCAAACCCCAGGACCAGCATACACACAAAAAAGGAAGGGAGGGGAGGAGAGAAGAGGAGAAAAAGAAAGAAGAGGAGAAAAAAAAAGAAAGCAAAAAAGAAAGTAAAAAAACAATACTGAGATGCTCAATAGCATCCATTAGAGATGTCATTCTGAATGAGTCCAAAAGCTGAGAAAATAATAGCAAATACTGACAATGTAATTGCATCAAATCAAAAAGTTTCTCTACATATAAATGAACACATATAAGAGTGAAGAGATGGCAGAATGAATGGGAGAAATTACTTGTAAACTATCCATTGACAATCAATGAATTTTCCCAGACTATATGAACAACTCAAAATTAAACATCGTAAAGCAACTAATCCAATCAATCCAATCAATAATCCAATCAAATAATCCAATCCAAAATAAGGTTGGGTACAGTAGCTCTCACCAATAAATCATAGCTAGCTACTCAAAATGAAGCCAGCTCAAAGAAATTTTGTCAAGATCCCCACAGCTAGGCTTGTGATGTATGACTGTGATTCTTTTTACAAAAAGAGGAGGCAGGAAGATATAATCCCAGACTTTAGCCCATCCCAGCAAAAAAAAACCCTCTCTATCCAAATAATATTTATAATAATATTGATAATAGTAACAAAATATGTATGAAAATTGGACTGGCAGACATGGTTCAAGTGGTAAACACCTGCCAGTTAGCAAGATATCCAGAGTTCTAATCCTAGTACAGAAAAAAATCAGTAATTGAGCCAACTAAGTCAAATGCTTTGAAGAGACTGTTGTCAAAATGTATAAATCCCAGTAAATACATGAAAATATGCTCTACCTCATGTGGCATCAGGAAAACGATTACAAAACTACACTAAAATTTCATCTTTCCATTTTAAGAATGGTTATCATTAAGGAAACAACAAATCCTGGCAAGGATGCAAGAGAAAGCAACACTCACAAGCTACTAGTGAGAATGAAATTTTACCTAGTTATGATGAAAATTATTAGAGAGATTTCTGAAAAACACATGAAAGTAGAAAGGATACTACCTGAGAAGATAAAGAGGTATAGTTTAAGAGTAAAGGAATACAAGAAAAGATCATGAGTGGTCAATATATTGAAAATACATTCTATACATATATAAAAATATCAAGAAGAAATCTATTAAAATATATCAAGGTAACAGTATTATTATTACCTCTTAAATAAAGAACTTATATGAAATTAATTTAATTATGTACATAGGCAAGCAAATAGTGAAAGGATTAAAAATTTATCTTCTTTTAGTGACACAATCAAATTGTCTCATATGTAAAAATATGGGAAACTATTTAGTTTCTAACTGAAATGTGCTTATTTTAAAAGTAGAAAAATTATTTTTATCACAAAGACCAATTAGTTGTAAGTTTTATGATAACATCCAAAAACTGAATAAACCATTAAGCACAATTTTTACATAATACAAAATTACTACATATGCATAATATACTTTACTTTATACTTTTTTGGGTTTTTTAAAATAAGTAGTGGAGCATGAATTCAGGGCCTAAGCCCTTTTGCTCAAGGCTAGCACACTACCACTTTGAACCACAGTGCAACTTCAAGTTTTCTGGTAGTTAATTGGAGACAAGACTCTCATGGACTCTTCTGCTCATGCTGACTTTGAACTATGATCTTCAGATCTCATCTCCTTGATAAGCTCAGATTATAGGAATAAGCCATCAGTGCCAAGCTTATTTTTATATTTTAACCATTACCTGAGCTTGACCTCAGGAAGAAGCCTGGTGCTTACAGATATGATGCTCTACCATTTGAATATGCCTCTGATTGGATTTGCTAGTTGTTTAGAGATGGAATATTTAAGACTTTTCTACCAAGTTTGGCTTAATACCATGATATTCTGCCTCTGCCTCCAGAGTATCTAGTATTACTGGCATGAGCCATCGGTGCCTGCTTTCTTTGCTCTTTTTGAATTAAAACTCTCATTCTTACTTTCTTCCGTAAGGTTGGACAATCTACAGAAATTCAGTAACAACAATCTTACCAGGATTGTTGCGTGGGATACATCTAAGAATCTTTTCTTCATATTTGGAAAGTGTTCTCTTAATGCTATGAATTTTAAAAAGTGACAAAATTAATATTTTGATATTGATATGAAAAACAATTACCAAATAATTTAATTCTTGAACATTTAAGACAATCTAAGCATTACTTCGGTATTTATTCCATATGCTTCAAAATTGACCTGAAAAAATTTTTACAAAACCTGTAATAAAAGAAGACAAAAGACAAAATAAAGAACAAAGGAGGAATCAATGCAACAGTGATACAGACAATATGCTGGAAATGAACTGTACAACTAGGAGGAGGTATGAGGATAGGGAAAGTGGGAGAAAAACGAGAAAGGGGGTAACAAGTTCAACAAGAATTGTAACCCCTCTGTGCATCACCTTGATAATAAAATGAAGTTTTTTAAAAAAGGTGAAATAAAGGTGAAATGATCCAGAAGAGAAGACAACAAAACTCAGAGGTAGAAATACCCATACTCAAAAGATACTCTGTTTTCTTTGTCGCTGTTATTTTTAATGTACTATGTGATTTTTTTGTTTCTCTTGTATGTTCTTCCCCCATGATAAAACCCCTGTTGTCACTGTATTTGATTCCCCGTGCCCTGCATCTTGTATATATATTTTTGTAATTGGGGGAGGGGAAGGGAAATAACAAAATATTGAAAGAAGGATACAGGTTGATCCATTGTAACAATGAAATGTTTAAGACACTATGTTGAAAACAAACTTTACAGCTTGTAGGGGAAGGAATTGGGGAGGTTGGGAGGGAAGGGATTGTAGGGAAAAACCAAAGGAGGTTGTAACAATGCTCCAAAGGAAATGAACTAAACCTCACTGTAACTGTAACTACTCTGTAGAGTATCTTTACAATAAACATATTTTAAAAATAAATGAAAATTTAAAAATTAAAAAAATAAATTAATATAATCTGAATATTCCCCTATTAACTAAATTGAAATGATAGTTAAAACATTCAAAAAAGGATAGTCTTTTTTTTTTCTTTTTTTTTAATTGTGAAAATACCGTATAGAGGGGTTACAATTACATGGGCAAGATAACGAGTACATTTCTTATCAAGCATTGTTGCCTCCTCCTTTGTTTCCCCTTCCCATCCTTTCCCATCTCCCATCCCTCCACCCTCCACCCCCACCCCCCAACCCCGGGCCAAAGTTGTAAAATTCCTTTTTCGACATAACAACTTGTACATTTCATTGTTGCAATGGGTCCACATGTATCCCTATTTAAACGATGTGTTTTTTCCCTTCCCCTCCACAAATTATACCAACATCAAATACAGTGAAAGCAGGGGCTTCACGGTGGGGGAGGGACATACAAAGAACAAAGAAATCATCTTATAAATATGTTAGAAACAATCACATGAAAGAAAAAACATTTGAATATCTTGGGGTTCATTTCACCTAACATCAACTTATCTGAAAGATATTCTTTCTCTATAATAAATACTTTGTTCTTGAAAAATTCTCCTATGTTAAGCTAAAAAATCTTCTAAACATTAAGGATATTATATCTTTAGCTCACATATTGTTATGAAGGCTAAACAATATAAGGTAAAAAATATGCACAGGAAAATGGAAAAGAATAAATTTAAGATTAATTATATTAATATTCATTATAATTAATAATATTACTTAATATAGTAAAGATTAATTCACATGTTGTTGGTAGGTCTTAAGACTGAAATATTGGATTTATCAAAAAATTTGAATCCTAACTTTGGCTACTCATATTTGTAATTTACAATCTTACAAAGCACATCATATCAGCTATTTTAATAATTTTGATACTCTATAAGTATATATAATTTTTTGGGGGGGGGTCTGTCGTGGGGCTTGAACTCTGGGCCTGGGCACTGTCCCTCAGCTCTTCAGCTGAAGGCTAGCGCTCTACCACTTGAGCCACAGCACCACTTCCAGTTTCGTGGTGGTTTATTGGAGATAAGAGTCTGGAGGTTTTTCCTGCCCCAGCTGGCTTTGAACCATCATCCTCAGTTTTCAGTCTCCTGAGTAGCTAAGATTACAAGCATGAGCAACCAGTGCCCGGCTATAATTTTTATTAATGTATTAGCTCCTTAAATAAACTAATTGTCCTAAATTAATAAACTAATAAATCACAGAAAGGGTAAAAAATTAATAACACTCAGGATTAACAGATCACTAATAGAATGGTACTTGGTCTCCAACTGATTTGGAAGACAAAAATCTCTTAATGCATAAATAGACATTATCCATTGTTACAGTAGACACATCAACAAGAGCAGGAAAGAGGATGGGCCTTCAATCTGTCTCCAAAACTGGGACCTTCCAAATATAAGCAACACCCATTTTAGGGCTGAGCTAGTGTATATTTAAAATGAAAAACTCAGATGATCACTATACGACCTTCCAGGAGTGGTTCCAGACCAAGAAAAACAAAAGTGATTCACCATGCACCTCTCCTCATTCTCCTCAAGAGCACAAAACCTGGTGGCTTAAATATGCTCTGGCTCATTAGAAATAAAGACAGACCTAAAGTTTTACTAACAGATTTCTTACTACTTCAACAAAAGACACATACTGTAAGTAGTGTTTATCTCTTACCTGATTGCTTCTCATTTCTTGAGCAACATCCTGTCACTTCTATATGAAGCCTCTTTCTCTCCTGTACTTCTCCTTTCCTGCTTAATTTATTTTCCATCAACCTATACCAACCTCTGAACCAAACAAGGCTATTACAAAGCCATCACACTCACCAAACACTTCCCACCAAAAATGGTACAACTGGACTAAGCTCATTAAATCCAACCAATCTACTTTAGATTCAGAATTTTCTCACAATAGCTCCTGTTGAAGAAAGAATTTGAAAATATTTTTCAACTGAGGCAGAATCTCAAGCAACTTGGGATTTTATTATTATTGAAACAAATCACTAAAAAGGGAAAAATGAAAGTTGATAAGAACTAGGAGAAGGGTGACATGGGATTTCTCACAGCCTAGGTGAAGGGGCTACACAGGATATCAAGAGATCTTTCAGCATATACCTGGAAGCAGAGAAGGGAAACTATAGCAGAGAGAAAATGTTTCACACCTGTAATCCTAGCTATTCAGGAATCTGATATTTAAGGGTCAGATTTCAAAACCAGCCCAAGCAGAGAATTTGAGATTCTAATTAAGTAACAAAATACTAGACTGGAAGTTTGACTCAAGTGTACAGTGTCAGCATGTGGGGGAAAACAGAGCAAGCTTGTGAGGTCCTGTATTCCAGCTTAGTACTTACACTACCACTCTCAAAATAAAGATAAAGTAGAATAAGTGGAGTCTGGCACCAATAGCTCATGACTGTATTCCTAGCCACTCAGGAGGCTGTGATCTGAGGTTCATGTTTCGAAACTAGCCCAAGTAGGAAAATCCGTAAGACTCTTATCTCCAATTAACCACCAGAAAACTGGAAGTGGAGCTGTAGCTCAAAGTGATAAAGTGCTAGCCTTGAGCAAAAGCAGCTCAGAGACAGCACCCAAGTCCCAGAATCGTCAAAAATAAAATAAAAGAATAAAAGGAAGACTAATACAGGAAAAGGAAAGTGAAGACCAAGAGGAGGAAGAGGAGAAAGAAGAGGAGATTATAATCCCTTCCTGAATCATTACTGGAAATTATCTCATAGGTTAAAATAATCCTAACTCAAATTACTGTCAGAAACGACAAAGACTTCAAAGGGTAACATGATATGAAGGTATAAGCTCACTTGTGTACTCCACAAGAAAAGCTTCCAATACAGAAGTTTCTAATACACAAGAAAACTCAGTTTAGCAACAATAAATCTTGAAAAAGCTGGGAAGCCAAGATGGTAAAGCAGATTTACTGCTTTTGGAATTATGGCTGAGCAAAATTTCACATGTATATGTGAACTAAAACTTAGCAGCATTTTGTGCTTAATAAATTTTTATTATATTTTAGTAGGGGTTACCATTCAACATATCATTTTATAAGTATGATGCATCTTGATCAATAACACCCATTTCATCATTCTGCCCCACCCATCTCAACCCAACCCCTTCTCTCTTGGCAAAGGCAGAAACCTTCTGAATAAATTTCCACAGGCTAAGAAAATACAAATCAAATTTTCAAGTAGAGTTGTATCAAACTAAGAAGTTACTGAATGGAAAAGGATATAACTAACAAACTAAAAAGCCTATGGAATGGGAATTTATTTGCCAGGTAGACACCATGCAATGGATTAATGTCCAGAATATACAAAGGGCTCAAGGAAATAAACTCTCAAGTAATCAACAAACTAGTTAATGGAAAATGAAACAGATATTTTAGGAGAAGTAAAATTAATCAATAGACACATGAAGAAATGCTAAACATCTTCAGCCATAAAGGAAATGTAAATTAAAACAACAGTGAGATTCTATCTTACCCCAGTTAGAATGGCCATCATCAAAAATACAAACAAGAGATTCTGGTGCAGAAGTGGATTTTTTTTTATGTGAGACTTCATTGATGTGCTCATTGCCAGATATATACTCATCTTTTTATTATTAGACCTTATCTTTCAATGTGTGCATACTTAATTCAGAAATTGATTACTCAGTTCACAAACTCTCATCCTTAATTCCATTAATAGTAGTATTCTTAAACTTATAAAATTTTTAAGTGTTTCAGTTTTTAATTTTTAATTGTTATTTTTTCCTTGTTTCTTTCTTTTCTCCTTTCCTTCCATCTGTTTCCTCTCTCTGAATTTAGGTCTTGGTTAAAATTCTTCTCTTCTTTTCCCTCCCCACATTCCTCTAATCTTATTTTTTCCCCACAATTCTCCTTAAGCCTATTAAATTTTGGTCAGCTGACTCCTGTTTGACATTTTTAGTCCATTCATCCATAGTCGGTTGTTGTTGAACTAGATTGTATCTGTTGAACTAGATTGTATCTGTGCTCATTTTGACTGCGTCAAACAATCTGTACAACTGCAGGGTTCAAGTTGATGCTTGCCTTCAAATAGTGATCTACCGCAAAATTGGTTGGGATTTCATACCAAATGAGCAGAACAAGCCAGAGAAACACAAGAAAAATGGCAAATCAAGTTATCTCAACTCCCACTCGTGATAATCAAGTGACAGAGCAGCTAATGAATAATCCAGAGGAGAGTTCCTAAAATGCTCTACAAACACTACTAGTAAACATGCTGAATGAAATGATTGAAAGCCTGCAAAGGACTCTGTGTGAGTGTGATAGGGAAAACCATGAGCAGGATAGGGAAAAGCATGAGAGTGATGAGTCTAACCAAAGATTAATACAGTAATTTCGTGAACATAAGGAAGCTAATCAACGATAAATACAGGAATTGCATGAGCAGACTAAGAATAGACAAAGATTGATACAGGAATTTCGTGAGCATGAGAAAGCTAATCAAAGATTAATAGAGGAATTGCATGAGTGAGATGAGAATAAACAAAGATTAATGGAACCATTCATGGAATCTACAAAGAGAAAGCTAGAGGAATCCTGGGAGGACACAAAGGACACAAAAATGCTGAATAGAGCCTATCAGAAGGAAAGGGAGTCCAATGAAACCAAAACTAACCAACTAAAGGATTTGAGAATGAACACTGAACACCAAATTAAGGAAGTAAAGAAGTCCATTCAAGATCTAAAACATGAAGTGGTGCTGTGGCTCAAGTGGTAGAGTGCTTGCTTGTCTTGAGCTGAAGAGCTCAAGGGCAGTGCCCAGGCCCAGAGTTCAAGCTCCATGACTGACAAAAAAAAAGATCTAAAACAAAGCTCCAACAAACAATTTGAAGGCATCAAAGCTGACCAATTAGAAGGACAAGAAATAAAAAACAAAGTACAAAGTCTTGACAGTAGGTTAGACCATGCAGAAGATCGAATCTCTGGGACTGAAGACAGCCTAGACATTATAGAGAAAGAAAAGACAACTATTGAAGACAAATCCAAGAATTATAGATTTATTCCATATTTAAAAGACACCATCAGAAGACTTAATCTGAGGATAATGGGTATGAAGGAGGATTTAGAGACAGGAGTTAATGGTCTAGGAAATTTATTTAACAGGATCCTAGCAGAGAATTTCCCAAACATACAAAAAGATAGGCTTATTCAGATATCAGAAGCTTTTAGAACCTCAAATAGATCAGACCAGAACAAGACATCCTACTGTCACATTATAATCCCCACAGCTTCAATTCAGACAAAGGAAAGGATCCTAAAAGCTGTCAAGGAGAAAAGATCAATCACCTATAAAGGAAAACCAATTACAATAACTTCCGATTTCTCAGCAGAGACAATTAATCAAGAAGAGCCTAGAATGATGCATGCCATCCCCTAAAGACAAACAACTATCAACCAAGAATACTGACCCAGAAAAACTCTCCTTCAAAAAACTCTCCTTCCAAAACAAAGAAACAGGGAATCCAAGAATTATAGGAAGACCCCAGTTGGCACAGCCCCCAAGAAAGTGGATACCATAGCAGGACATACCAAATACCTTTCGGTCCTAACTCTCAATATTAATGGACTTAACTCTCCAATAGTTGAATCAAAAAGAAAGATCCTTCTATCTGTTGCCTTCAAGAGACACACATTGCCCACAAAAACAAACATTCTGAAAGTGAAAGTCTGGAATAAAATCTACCAAGCAAATGACCCCCATAAACAGGCAGGAGTTGCAATCCTAATATCAGATACAATAGACTTCAAATTAAAATTAGAGAAAAGAGATAAAGAAGGTCACTACATACTAATTAAGGGATCTCTAATTCAGGAGGATGTTACAATTCTGAATATATATTCAGAATATATTCTGAATATATATTCTCAAAATTTAAATCCCCCAACAACAAATCCTCAAAAAAACAACTGCCCTATAAATAAGTGGGATAAAGTCTTAAAGTTAGACTTCTCTGAAGAGGAAATAAGAATGGTCAATATACACATGAAGAAATGTTCAACTTCTGTAGCCATGCAAATCAAAACATTAAGTTTCCACCTAACCCAGTTTGAATGGCCATAATCAAAAAAATCTAATAACCAGAGATTCTGGAGGGGATGTGGTCAAATGGGAACAATACTGAATTGTTGGTGAGAATGTAAACTTGTCCAACCACTTTGGAAAGCAGTATGAAGTTTCCTCAAAAGACTCCACATAGAGCTCCCTTATGACCCAGTAATCCCACTCTTGGACTTTTAACCAAATGCTCTCAAACAAGACCATACTAAAGCTACCAGCACAACTATGTTTATCGCAGCATTATTCACCATAGTAAAGATAAGGAACCAACCCAGATGTCCCATAGTAGATGAATGGATCAAAAAATTGTGGCATATATATGCAATGGAATTTCATCAGAAAGAATAACATTGCCTCATTTGTTAGGAAATGGAAAGACTTGAAAAAAATTATATTAAGTGAATTAAGCCAGATTGAAAGAAACATAGGTCCTATGGTTTCCCTTATTTGCAATAACTAGTATATGTCTAGGACAAGCAGAAAAGATCAAAAGCTATGTACATATGACCATATAAGAAGATACTATTCGAAATGAACCCCAAGATAGGGACACAAGTGGTTTTTCTTGCTTGCTATTGTTTTTCACGTATTTATGGTGTACTGTGTAATCTTTTTGTTCCTCTTTTATGTTCTTCCCTCACAGTATAACCCCTGTTTTCACTGTATTTGATTCTGGTGCCCCATATCTTATATATACTTTTTTCTAATTTGGGGAGGGGAAGGGAAATAACAAAATGCTGAAATAAGGATACAGGTTGACCCATTGTAACAATGAGATGTACAAGACACTATGTTGAAAACAAACTTTACAACTTCCAGGCGGAGTAGAGGGAAGAGTTGGGGAGGTTAGGAGAGAAGGGATAGTAGGGGAAAAACAAAGGAGGAGGTAACAATACTTGATAGGAAATGTACTCATTACCTTACCTATGTAACTGTAACCCCTCTGTACAGTATTTTTCAGTAAAAAAAATACATATATATATAAATATGATGTTATTTATAATGCAGGCTTAATTATTTAAATTGATATAAAATGTAGACTGCTGGGATCAAGGATAAAGTCTTAAATTTCCTAAATCATTAGTATAAAACTTTACTAGTACACACGAACCCAGAGATACATCTCTTATACTGTCAAAGTTAACCTGGGATAAAAATTCTACATACATTGCTCCATGTACCTATTCTAGTCTTTTTTGGTTTCTGGCCAATAACATTCGATACTATTCCAGAACTACCTTAACTAAACTATGGCATATCAGTGGATAAATACGTGATACCTGTAATTATTTTGAACCTCAATTTAAAGTATATTAGTATTTTAATGCAAACACTTACACTTCACAATGGCCATAAAGAGCATAAGATGATGCAGACCATCCAAAAGCATCTTTTAAAAAGACATCAACGCCTTGCTGAAGAAGAAACTTGACCATATGTTTTGATTCACATTGGACAGCATACATGAGGGTTGATCTAAAATAACAGGAGGTAAAATTTAACCTTCAGGTACTTTCAATGCACTTATTTAGTACACTATTGAGTATGCTTAATAAATTCAATATCATGCCTGTGTGTAAAATTGATCATTTACATATGCCAGCAACTGCAGCATCTTACATGTCAAGTATTCACCTTTGTCAGTTATCTCCAAAGCTAAATGGAGAAAACAATCGGATCTCTTGTGCCACTGGGGTATTACCTAGTGGATTTCCTAATTTGATGTGCTTTGATAGAAAATAAATTCTAGGGTCACGTGTCTAATGCAGGTAAAGATCTAAATGAGTAGTTTGTCCTCTGCTAATTCCCTCATCTTATGTAAAGTAGGTAAAAGTTGAATAAGTAAAAGCTATTGGAATGATTAATAAAATTATTCCTATGAAAATAATTCTAAGAATGTGGTAGTCAAAAGTCTAAATTGTATACATATGACTTACAGTCTCAAATCAGGGATATTATACTTCCTATCCTATTAAAAATTATTTGCTAATAAGTGTTTTTAAGTTCCTGGAAATTCAGGAGTGAAACCCAGTACTGTGTGAAACTATAATCTTCTTTTTATAACCCACCTAGGACTGATGTTCATGAAAGGAAAGGTTTATCAAATTAAATATGTTGTTTCCTCAGTATATAGCAATTAAACCTATAAAAAAAAAAACCATGGCTTGAAGATACAGTGCTCTACAAAATGCTCCTATGGACATTCAAGTACTAACCTGAGTGTATTAACTTCATTGATTGGTTAATTTAGTGGATAGTTTTAGATGAGCCAGCTGTTGGGAAGTAGACTTAGTTAAAGGAAGTTGTCATTGGAGGGGGACTGTGCTAAGACTCTTCCTCCACTTTTCTGTTGCCTGACGTCCAGGAGAGGAGCACCTTCCTCTCTTCCTCTACCACATGTTCCTCCTGAGCATTCTACATCACCCCAGGCCCAGGGAAAACAAACCAGACAACCTCTGAATACATGAGTCCTCCTCAAATTGTTTTCCTCAGACACTGTTATTCACAAAACAAACAATATAAATAAAGGGGAAATCTCTGAAGTAGCAGTTAATAGTTACTTTGGGAAAAGCTAATATTAATATTCTTCAAAGAAAGCAATTGCTCTCAAGTGAAGAATCTTCAAAGTGATAAAATGACTTCTAACACATATTTTTTGCTTAATACAGTATACCTTAAAGAAGTATAACAAAAGCTTGGTGCCAGTGGCTCACACCTGTAATCCTAGCTACTCAGGAGGCTGAGATCTGAGGATCAAAGTTCAAAGCTAGCCCAGACAAGAAACTCCGTGAGACTCTTATCTCCAATAAACCACCAGAAAACTGGAAGTGGCACTGTCGCTCAAGTGGCAGAGTGCTTGCCTTGAGCTGAAGAGCTGAGGGACAGCCCAAGCCCAGAGTTCAAGCCCCACAACTGACCCCTCCTCCCCGCAAAAAGTATAAAACGACAAATAAAGACAAGCACTGTGACCCAGGCCTGTAATCCTAGCTATTTTGCAGACTGAGATCTAAGACTTGCAATCCAAGATCAACCTGGCCACAAAAGTCACTTTAACACATATTTCCAATTAACCACCAAAAAGATGGAAGTGGAACTGTGACTTAAATGGCAGAGCACCATCCTTGAGGAGATAAAAGCTCAAAGGCACATCCAGGCCCTGTGTCAAGCTCAAGGTCCAGCAGGACAAAAAAATGAAAAGTGACAATACTATAAAATGGTTATGAATTTCATATTTCCTCAAAACTTAAAACTAAAATCCACACTATAATCACAATATTCAATGTACAAAAATAAGTGAAAATGGAACCAGGTAACTTGAGGAGATGAGTGAGGATTTGACAGATGGGAAAAAACTGATGGAAGGGGTAACACTGACCAAGATGCTTTGCACTCATAAGCTATAATCTTGAATTGAAACTCTTTTGCATAGCTAAAGATAACTTTTTTAAAAGAAATTAAGTAAAAAATTATATTGATATAAAACATCTTTATATAAGATCATATGACCATAAAAATCAGATTACAAGTAATAATGACTAGCAAATAATAGTAGGGAATATGAATCCTACTATATACTGTTCTTCTTGGGGACAATCTGAATCAACACTTCCTACTTAAGTGACCACTTGTGCCAATATTCTACATTATACTCCAATAAGTTTAAGCTAAATTCTTTCTATGAATGTGCTAATTCTGATTTGAGTAATGTTTCCCACATGAGGACAAAAGGAAACTTTTGTTGGAAAATAGAACAAATAACTATACCTATTCAGCTCATCAACTGCATGTATATTGGCTTTATTCTCTATTAAAAATTCTGCCATTTGCTCTTTGTTTTCCTTTAGAGCAAGCAAAAGTGGTGTGAAGCCATCCTGTGGAAATCAAAAACAAAAATAAGTTATAACACATGAAATTCCTTATTTCTCCACTTAATCAGCTACAAACACATAGAGAGGAAATACACATTCACACACACCGTCCCCTCTCTTTGAATGCCACAAACTTGAACATGTACAAGATAAACACAATCAGTTTAGAACAAAATTACTCAGTATATATTCCAAAAATATGTCCCATCTTGAAGTACCATGCCCCTTAGAGAGATTTCATGAACATATATTTGGGAACTATAGAACTGTACATTCTAAGCCTACCATTAGAGAAATTGTGATAATATTGCTTAGTCTCTGCCCAACGACACATTTTTTTTATTGTGAGAATACCATACAGCAGAGTTACAATTACATGGGCAAGATAACAAGTACATTTCTTATCAAGCATTGTTGCCTCCTCATTGTTTCCCCTTTCCATCCCTTCCCATACTCCTCCCCTCCTCTCACCTGATCCTCTCCCCCACTCCCCACCAAAGTTGTTAAATTCGTTTTTTGATATAAAAATTTGTACATCTCATTGTTGCAATGGGTCCACCTGTATCCCTAGTTAAATGATTTTTTTTCCCTTCCCCTCCACAAATTATACCAACATCAAAAAGAGTGAAAGTATGGGTTATACTGTGGAGGAGGGACATACAAAGCAACAAAGAAATCATCTTATAAATATGTTAGAAATGATTGCATGAAAGGAAAACAAAAAACAAAAAAACATTTGAATACTTATCTTGGGGTTCATTCCCCTAACATCAACTTATCTGACCTTTTCTTCTTGACTCAGGCATATACTAGTTATTGCAAATAAGGGAAACCATGGGACCTATGTTTCTTTGGGCCTGGCTTACTTCACTTAATATAATTTTTTCCAAGTCTGAACATTTCCTAACAAATGGGGCAATGACATTCTTTCTGATGGAGGCATAGAATTCCATTGTGTATGTATACCACATTTTCTTGATCCATTCATCTACTGAGGGGCATCTGGGTTGGTCCCATATCTTACCTATGGTAAATAATGCTGCAATAAACATAGTCATGCTGGTAGCTTTAGTATGGTCTTGTTTGTGATCATTTGGGTAAATGCCCAAAAGTGGGATTGCCAGGTCATAGGGGAGCTCTATGTGGAGTCTTTTGAGGAACCTCCATACTGCTTTCCAAAGTGGTTGAACAAGTTTACACTCCCACCAACAATGCAGTAAGGTTCCCTTCTGTCCACATCCCCTCCAGCATCTGTTGTTATTAGAGTTCTTGATTATATCTGACGACACTTTTACAGCAAAAATACCCTTTTTAAGATGTGTTGTTTAATGGACACAGTGAAAAAAAACTTTCCATAAGACTCTTATTTTTATAGTGGCATGACTCAGATTCCCATGCTAGGTTCTGCTTCTTCCCACAGGTCACTAAGGAAATTGGATTGAAGTTAAAAGACATAGTATTCAAATGGACGTTGACATTTTTATTACTCTCTTTAAGTAGTTGTACAAAGGAGTTGCCATTGAACAAATCAGTTTATGAATACAATGAATCTTAATGTCATCCCTTCCAACATTCTCACCCATCCCTCCTATCCCTACCCTTCCCTCACTCTCTGAGATATGTATTGGACTCCTGACTACATTTCACTCCCCCTTCTCCTCTTCATTCATCTACTTGTTACCCTTGACTCCATCATTTTGAATACCTGCTTCCTGGTGATTTATTTTCCTAAAATTTGAATTTGCCATTTTAAGGAATTATAATTGAATTTTCCCTTGAATCTGCCATATTTCAGTTAAACCCTTTGTATACATTTGCATACCACCTAACATATTTACTAAAGATTTTTCATGTCTGTTGGATATCTCAACAAAAGTTTATCCTCATTTTATATAGATAATTCTATGACCTTGAAAATTCTGTGAGGTCATTTTTCTTCTAGTTCCAGGTTAGTCACCAAGGTTTTATTTTTCAGAAAAAATCTATGTGAGAAATAAAACTGAAGCAGTTTATCAGTAAAAATTTTATGCTAATGAATATGAATAATTTTACAGAGAAACTAAAACTGAGTCACTGGCCCTGAGAATCTACCTATGATTAACCTACTAAGGCTATGGAAATACAAAGTCCAGATTTATGCTGAAGCCTCCAGACATTTAAATGGAGATTGTTTATGGAAGCAAACTATGTTCTCAACAATAGGCCACATTTAGTGGGATTTTATGCTCTTGTGTGATCCCATATGGTTAGGGATAATGGAAGGATTTGTATGTGAAATCGTTCCTTTTGTTAATATCATGTTTTACAAAGAGTATCAGACCATAAAACTTTTTTTAAAGACTCAAGATAATTACTTCAAGACAACTACTTTTCCAATACTTATTAATATCTCTTTAATTACCCACTATTAATTTGTAAATTCAAAGAATACCTGAGATTACTGATAAAAACTAGTTCTTTTATCTGACACCAAAATGTTTTATTAGAGATATGAAAATGCAAAATTGCTGAGATTTTCCACCCAGCTACAATACTGCTAATATTTATGAAAGAACTGATAAATGTCCACGCATATAAAAATACAGTATGCAGAACCTACATAGTGCAGTACATGTGTAAAATGTATGGTACCCAAACATCATGATAGGGAATTTATTTCAGGGCACAAACAGCATACACAAAGGCATTAGGCTTTTTAATTTTTAAAAAAACTATTTATCTATATTTTATGGTAAAGTGATATACAGAGGAGTTACAGTTACATAAGGAAGGGAGTACAATCCTTGTCGAACATTGGTACCCCCTCCTCCCTCCAAGTGCTGGTGGTTCATACCTGTAATCCTAGCTACTCAGGAGGATGAGATCTGAGAATTACAGTTTGAAAACAATTCAGGCAGGAAAGTCAGTGACATTCTTAACTCCACTAAACAACCAAAAGAAAAGGTCAGAAGTGGGGCTGTGACTCAAGTGGTAGAGTACAAGCCTTAAGGGATTAAAACATCTCAGGGACAGTGTCCAGACACTGAGTTCAAGCCCCAGGACCAGCACACAAAACAATAAAATCATTTCAGTCTCATGCCTCATCCACAGAGCCAAACCTTCCTCACTTGACAATTTGGACAAAAGGAGAAAATGAAAATTCACCGTTGCTTGGTGAGCATGACATTTAAGTTCTCCACTTAGGGAAAATAACTAGTAATGGACCAAGAAATTCAAATTACAACTTGATTTCATTTTCCAAAAGAACAGAGTAATTCTCACCTCTTCAACTATCTATCTATCTATATATCTATATCTATATATGTATATAAATATATAGATATATATATAAATATATACATATTTATATATGATTATAAATATATATAGATATATATAAATATATAGATATAGATATTTGGTCCGGTCATGGGGCCTGAACTCTGGGCCTGGGCGCTGTCCCTCAGCTCTTCAGCTCAAGGCTAGCACTCTACCACTTGAGCTACAGCACCACTTCCGGCTTTTTTTTTCTTTTTGCTTATGTGGTGCTGAGGAATTGAACCCAGGGCCTCATGCATGCAAGGCAAGCGCTCTACCACTTAGCCACCTTCCCAGCTCGACTATATTTTTAAGAACACACTTTAAACAACTGTATAAGTAGCTATTCCTACCAGAAAAGGATAATATGAAAGAGAAACCTTTGATCTTTCCTTCTGGTTTCCAAATAGTCAGCATCTACTCACTTCGATTTAGAATTCTTCAGATTCTACATAATTTCATCTCTAGGCAACTTTGTAACTTCAACATAATTTTCTTTACCAAATTAAGAAATACTATCCCCAAATTGAGCCGCATCTTTTCTAACACATAAAATTTTTGAAAGAATTTAAATAAAAACTGTTTGGGGTATTTTCCCTCAATTACGTACTTTCAAATCAGCCTGTGTAATTTGTAATTGCTTTCTCTCTACAAGTTTTTATGCTTCAGTCTCACCTCCAAGAGAAAATTCACTTTGACAAAACTTTTCAACAGCAACAAAGTTTCCAAATTATTTTGTTTGACTAGGAAGAAAAAGCTCATTTCCAAGTAAAATTTTACCTGCACACTCTGAAACTTCTATGACAGTATCATCATTTGAAATAAACTCTTTGAAGACTGAATTCTTTAAACATTTTCTTTCACTTTTAGCTTCCATATGTGGGAAATAAGTTAGGTTTACCCTACCTTGGTTTGCAATTCAATACTTGCATTGTATGCAAGCAGTTTGGCAGCTATTGGCACATTGTCAGTGTAGATGGTATAATGGATGGCAGTGTTGCCGCTGGCATCCCTCACATTTGGATCAGCACCATATTTGAGTAGGAGAGTCACACATTCCTCATGCTGACATTGTGAGGCCTGTTGGTATCACAGCAAGAGACAACTCATCAATTCCAGGCATTCAAGGTAAACATTCCACAGATTACATCAATTAGTTGTTTTTCAATGTGGTCAATTTGTTTTCATTTTATGCGTTTTTATCAGGGAAGAGAGACATTGAGACAGCCAAAAATAAAGATGCTCTTGCCTCAGTTTCCAAAATGTTGGCATTACAGGTATAAAGAACCATTTCTAGCTATTACTTTTAACTACTTAAATCAAATCCATGTCCTGATGAAATGGTTTACCACTAGTTACCTTAATCAGAGCTGTGCTGTTGTCACTGTCTCGAATATTAACCTCACACTTCTTTTCTATGAGAAGAACCACAATATTTGGATGCCCATAAGCACATGCATAATGCAGAGCAGTCCTGTGAAATGAGAAATTCTATGAAAGAGAATAGCCAAATTATATAGGTAGTTTTAAACATTAAATAGCATGTAATTAATTTTTCAGAAGAAAGATTAGGTTATTTGATTGCATTTGTTTTAATATTTTTAAGCAAATGGATCTATAACCACAATTCCTTGCAGGGGTGAATTTCTTTTTACAAAATGAAGTATAGGCTTTAGATATGATATTTGGATCCTATTTTAAACTCTATTATCAACTTGTTATTGCTTAGCCTATCTATGAAATCAATAACCTAGAGATTTCTCATTTATGTAATGAAGAGTAGTTTAATACAGACCATCACACACAGTGATTCCTCAGTGAGAATTTAGGCAGAATAGTTACAACACTGTACACATGTCTGCTCATTACTTATTAGAAATTATAATTATTACTATTCCACTAACAAACGTAACCTCTTTCTTAAATGAAATAACACAATAATATTTATTCTGTAGATAAGTTTTCAAGGACTATATATTTTGATAAATCTAAGTTTTATAAGTCAAGATATTTGCAATTGGTCTTGGTCTCCATTTGGCCTTGGTCTCAAGATCTTCCCACTTCAGTGGTGCCCAGCGTAAGATGCTTTTTCTCACAGATAATAGTTTAATTGTACGAACAGTTTCATTGTTTTATTTCCCTGTTCGCATATCAAATATTTGGATCACTCATAAAATGATGTTGTTCATTGTAGTCTGCCTGATGCTAGGATAAACTTGAAAAGAGGTTCATAGCTTGAGAAGAAAAGGACCAGTCAATTTTATTATCATCTACCAGCAGAAGTCTGCTAAGAAAATGTCTTTAGGAACTCCAAGGTTGTCAACAAATCCTCCTACCAAAATTGTTTGCTGATCCAGAAGTCACTAAATTACTTTTCAGAACTAGCTCATGAAAGAAGCAGCCCATTGGCAGTAAGGGAAATCTACTGAGAAGTAAAAATGGCACTCTCAGATAACTTAGTGTGAATTTTGTTGGTGTGAATTTTTTTTCAATCAAAGAGAAAAACATCGAACCATCATTCATTTCAAAAATTCCTAAGTAAAGAATATGTATAGGGGTATATATAATATATATACATAGTGATCTAAAATGGATATTAGATTACATATGATAAATTTTTAGCTCTGAAATTGATATATCATGGAAAATATTTGTCCATTAAGTAGTTATTTGCAATAATATAATGATTTTTATTGTTTAAAATGATAAAATTCTGCATATTCTTTGTGTTAGCAATATAGACAAAAGATAGTTAAGGGAAAATAGACAATATTGACATAGGATAGAGAGGGAAAAACAGCAGACAAGAATTCAGGAACTGCTTAAAGTTGCTTAAGTATTTTTGCTTTTACATGTCCTTACAAGTTGTAATTTTTACAAAAAAAATATTTTTTAAAGGAGAAAATAGTTTTCTTCTTTCACCTTATCCTCTTGCTAAAATAATTCGTATGCTTGGGATGTGGCTGAAAGGAAAATCTTAAATAAATTTATTTGAAAAAACAAACACTAGGTAAAAGTATTTCCTTTAGCATTAAACTTGTTTTTTTAAAAAAAAGACCTAGCTGTAGTCCTAGTTGCTCAGAAGACTGTGGTGGGAAGCATGGCCTGGACACTAAAGTACATGAGACACTGATCTCCAATTAATTACCAAAAAGATGAAAGTGTAGTTACAGTTCAACTGATAGAGCCCTAGCCTTGATCAAAAAAGCTCAGAGACTGTGCCCAGGCTTTGAGTTCAAGCCCCAGGACCAGACCAAAAAAAAAAAAAGGGAAACTGAAAAGAAACTTATCTCAAGAATTAACTTTTGTCTAAAACAATGTGTATCTACACTTTTCTTGAAGGGGTGCCTTAATAATAAGGTTCCAAAATTTAATGAATGGGTTGAATTACTAAAAAATAAACAGACTAATTGTATTAACTGCAGTTAAAGTAAAGAAAGAATATATATGGGGTGGGGGAGAGAGAGGATACTATACTGAAGTGAAATGGAGTAAAATCACACAGCTACATTTTCACCATAAATACCTGATATCATTGCACATGTTAGATGTGACCACCCTCGTATCTGGGTTGTGTACTGTCTTGCCTTTGCTATACTAATAATGCTTTTCTTGGTCTCTGTCTCTATGTGTCCTTAAATTCTTTCTTGTGACAAGATCACTAAATTAGGATACTCAAGGACAAGACAGAGGCCTCCTCTACGTTGGAGATCTCCTCATTAGAGACTCACTGGTTCCTGATCAGGCAACAAAACTACTTTTAAATAACCACCACAGAACACTGGAGGGGGGTTATTTTAGTGGATTTAGAAATAAGCCAACATTTTGTTTCTGTTGTGTTTCTCGGAAGAATGGCTTGTCGCCTAGACCTTCTCAAGGTGTGCAGGGCCCAAGGGCTGAGGAGCCTGTGGTACAAACAAAGCCCAGCATCCTCAGTGAACTCAGAGCTCTCCTCTTCCGAGCCTCCCCTGGCCTCCTGTTCCCCCATGCGGCCGAGCCTTGCCCTCACTCCCAGGCCCTCTGACCTGTTCTTCTTGTCTCTGGCATTCACGTCGTTTTTCCCACCTAAGAGCTTCCTCTGCACTTTGCCTACGTCGCCCTGGCTTGCAGCCTTGTGGATCTTTCCTGACGCTTTGTATCTGGAGAGGTATCTGGCAGAGTCAAAGCTCTCGGCATTCGCGTTCTCACTGGCACAGCACAGGACGCTCCTGCGCGGGCCGGCGGAGGACCCACAGCAATTCTGGTGCTCACTTCTCAAGACGAAGTTTGTCTTCATGGCTGTGGCTGGTGGCCTCACCTGAACCTCCCCTGCCTCCTCCCTCGCCCTTGCCCTGTGGCCACCTGCTGAAGCAAACACAGCACTTTGTAAGTGAGTCAACCAAGTCTCCACAGTTGGCCAAGAAGGCAAGTCCACTGGTCAACTGGAGGAAAGGTCCTCGTTGCCAAGCAATGATGATAAGCACAGATGCGTGCGTGCGTGCGTGCGTGCGTGCATGAGTGAGCGTGTTCATGCCACGTGGAAACTGGAAAACAAGAGGGCTTTGCCTGCACATGTAGAGCCTGCTTGTTAAATCTCAGTTCTTCAGTAGACCTGTGTTCCCTTGACTACAACGTCCTTCTGGACATGTGGAGGAAGTCAGGATGCCTGGAACCTCTTCCCTCATCCTAAGATCTTCATGGTAGAAGCTCCCCAGCTCACAGGCCTCTCCTTCCCCCTGGGCTTGTCTCTACCTCCCAAAGGCAATGCTAGGGCTTTCAAGTGAGCTATCCAACTATTCCACACAGTCCCTCCCAACAGAGTAGTTGGGGATTTCATGTCTGACAAGGGAAAATACTCGTTCTCAAGTAACATTAGTGAACAAAATGGGCTTGGGCACATGTGTATGTCCCTTTAACAGGAATGATAACCTGTGGTCAAGATGATCACTGCAGATGTGCAGGACATGCCTTTCAAATTTTACTTCCTGAGCAGATATTCATCCAATTCCAATGTCAAGTATCAGTGGGAATGCAATGAATGTCTGGATTCTTTGCTAAAGGCAGACAGGTTTCTGTGCAAAAAGAAAAAAAAAATCTTTATACACAACCCCGTATCTGAGGGTGCTGCAGGCTTTGATATCAAAAATGTTCTCTTGGATCCTCAAATTTGTCCATAAGCCATTTACTTATCATTCGCCTTACACATCCCAGGGCTGGGAAGACTACGTCCACCTGTGCATTCAAGCATGCCTCCTACCATTCCCGTTGGCCGGCTTTTTCTTTATGTTTACCTTTATTATATTCTCTTACATCTATAATGAATATACAATTAACTGTGGTGTATATGTGGAACAGTATTTAGATTTTTTTAAATTATCCATTTACTTCTTCATTTTTTCTCATTAAATTAAAATGTCTAAGTGTCATTCTGAATCTCAGCACCCCAGCCTAAGTAAAATGATCTTCACATGGGAACAACTTGTTGTGTTCTTCCTCAGAAGCTGGTAGGCTCTAGTAGTAGCAATGCCTTAACCCAGTACAGTAACATTTACAACACTATAGACCCACTCTTTTTTTTTTTTTTTTTTTTTTTGCCAGTCCTGGGGCTTGAACTCAGGGCCTGGGCACTGTCCTTGAGCTTCTATTGCTCAAGGCTAAAACTCTACCACTTGAGCCACAGCACCACTTCTGACTTTTTCTGTGCACGTGGTACTGAGGAATCAAACCCAGGGCTTCATGCATGCTAGGCAAGCACTCTACCACTAAGCCATATTCCCAGCACCTAGGCCTACTCTTGGAGTAGTGTCTACTGCCTCTTTTTACTTCCTTGTTTTGTTTGCATTCTCCTTTGCTCTCCTAATTTCTTTCCCAGTTCCATGCTCCAAAAAACTTTGCTCTTTCTTTGCACAGGATCCTCACACTGCTGAGTCATAATATTCAGCAAACTGACTCCAAGTGGTATTGATATTCCTCCACCATTGTTCTTTCTGCTAATGATTGCTTTTGCTATTCAGGGTCTTTATTGTTCCATATGAATTTTTGGATTGCTTCTTCTATTTCCTCGAAGAATGAGGATAGGATAATGATGGGTATTGCATTGAATTTGTAGATAGCCTTTGGCAGTATTGCCATTTTCACGATGTTATTCCTTCCAATCCAGGAGCATGGGAGGTTTTTCCACTTGCTTAGTTCTGCTTTAATTTCCTTTTTCAGGTTATTGAAATTTTCATCATAGAAGTCCTCTACTTCTTTAGTTAATTCCTAGGTATTCTATTTTTTGTGGGATTATTTGAAGGGGAGTTTTTCCTGATTTCAGCCATGCTCTTCTCGTTGTTGGTATACAGAAAAGCCATTGACTTTTGAGGGTTAATTTTATACCCTGCTACTTTGCCAAAATTTTGAATCAGCTCTAGTAATTTGGGAGTGGAGTTCATGGGATTCTTTAAATACAAGATCATGCCATCTGGAAAGAGGAAGAATTTTATTTCATCTTTCCCTATTTGGATTCCTTTTATGTTTGCATCTTTTTTTATTGCTGTAGCTAGGCATTCTAATAATAAATTGAAGAGAAGTGGAGAGAGTGGACATCCTTGTCTCATTCCTGAATTTAGAGGAAATGGCTTTAGCTTTTTGCCATTAAGTATAATGCTAGCTGTAGGCTTGTCATACACAACCTTTATTATATTGAGGAATGTTGCATGGATTCTCAGAGCCTTCATCATAAAGGGGTGTTGGATCTTGTCATATGCTTTTTCTGCATCTATTGAGATAACAATGTGGTTCTTATCCTTGCTCTTGTTGATGTGGTGACTTATATTTGATTGATTTGCATATATTGAACCAGCTTTGCATCTCTGAAATGAATCCTGTTTGATCATGGTGTATGATTTTTTGATGAATTCTTCAAGTCGATTGGTCAAAATTTTGTTGAGAAATTTTGCATTGATGTTCATCAAAGAAATGGGTCTATAGTTCTCTTTCTTTGGAGAGTCACTGCCTGGTTTGAGGATGAGGGTTATGATGGCTTCATAGAAAGAGTTTGGTAGTGAACTTTCACTTTCAATCTCACCGAAGAATTGGAGGAGTATTGCTGTGAGTTCTGCTTTGAAGCCCTTGTAGAATTCTGCTGTAAATCCATCTGGTCCTGGGGTTTTCTTGGGTGGAAGATCTCTTATTGCTGTTTCTATTTTGATGCTTATATGGGTCTGTTAAGTTGGTTTAAATCATCTTGGTTTAGTTTTGTCATGTGAATATTTGCTAGAAAATCATCCATTTCTTCAGATTCTCAAACATATTGGCATAAAAGTTTGAGATGTATTCCCTTATATGTTCTGAATCTTGGTTGTTTCTGTGGTGATATTTCCATTCTCATCTCTGAGTTTGAGTGTGTTCTCTTCTTTTTCTAATGAGATTTTCTAATAGTCTGTCAGTTTTGTTAATTTTTTTGAAGAACCAACTCTTAGTTTTGTTGATTCTTTCTATAGTTTTTGTTTGGATTCTAATTCATTTAATTCTGATTTAATTTTAATTATTTGTTTCTGTCTACTGGATTGGGGTTTAGCTTGTTGCTCTTTTTCAAGGAGTTTCAGGTGACTCATTAAATTGGTTTCAGAGCTCTCCAATTTGTTAATGTAGGAACTCACAGCTATAAACTTGTCTCTGAGTACTGCATTTGTGGTGCTCCAGAAGAGCTGGTTATTTGTGTGTTCATTTTTGTTAAATTTCATAAACAGTTGAATTTCCTTTCTAATAGTTTCCATGAGCCACTGATGGTTCAACAGCCTCCATGTGTTACAGGATTGTCTTGGGTGGTTTTTATGTTGAATTCTAATTTTATTCCCTTGTGGTATGAGAGACTTCAGGACATAATTTCAATGTTTCTGAATTTGGATAAATTTGCTTTATGACCTAAAATGTGGTCTATTGGAGAATGTTCTGTGTGCTCCTGAGAAGAACATGTATTCTGATGCTGCTGGGTGAAATATTCAGTAGATGTCTGTCTAGTTGTTCTATGTAGTAGTTTAGATCTAAGTTTTCTCTGCTGAGTTTTTGCTAGGTTGATCTATCTAGTGGGGATAGTGGTGTGTTAAAGTCCCCAACAATTAATGTCTTTGGATCTATGTGAGATTTGAGGGAAAGTAGTGTTTCTTGGATAAATTTGGATGCTTCATTATTTGGTGAATAGATACTTAGAATGTAATATCCTCCTGAAGGAAGGATCCCTTAATTAGTATGTAATGACCTTCTGTATCTCTTCTAATTTTAATTTAAGGTCTATTTTATCTGATATTAGGATTGCAACTCCTGCCTGTTTATGGGGGCCATTTGCTTGGTAGATTTTATTCCAGACTTCCACTTTCAGAATGTTTGTTTTTGTGAGCAAAGTGTGTCTCTTAAAGGCAGCAGATAGAAGGTCTTGCTTTGTGATCCACACTAGACAGTCTATGTCGCTTAATCAGGGACCTAAGTCCACTAATATTGAGAGTTAGGACTGAAAGGTGTTTGGAAGTTCCTGCCATGTTATCCTCCTTTTGGGGGGCTGTCCCAACTGGATTCTTCCTATGATTCTTGGATTCTCTATTTGAGAGCTGTTTCTTGGCCTTTATTGTGCTCTTGTTGTTTTTCTATGTGTAGGACATCTTTAAGTATCTTTTGTAGGGCTGATTTGGTGGAGATATTTTGTTTCAGTTTTTCTTTACTATAAAAGATTTTTATTTGAAGGAGAGTTTATCTAGATACAATATTCTTGGTTGATAGTTGATAGTCTTTAGAGTATGGCATACATAATTCCAGGCTCTTCTTGCTTTAATTGTCTCTGTTGAGAAATCTGAAGTTATTCTAATTGGTTTCTCTTTATAGGTGATTGATCTTTTCTCCTTGACAGCTTTAAGGATCCTTTCCTTGGTCTGAATTGATCCTGTTCAGGTTATAATGTGACAGTGGGATGTCCTGTTCTGGTTTTGTCTATTTGAGGTTTTAAAGGCTTCTTGTATCTGAATAGGCCTATCTTTCTGAATGTTTGGGAAATTCTCTGCTAGGATCCCATTAAATAAAGTTCCTAGACCATTAACTTCTGCCTCTAGGTGCTCCTGTTCACCCATTATCCTCAGATTAGGTCTTTTGATGATGTCTTCTAAATGTTGAATAGATCTATCATATTTTTTTGATTTGTCTTCAATAGTTGTCTCTTCTTACTCCATAAAATCTAGGCTATCTTCAATCCCAGAGATTCGATCTTCTGCGTGGTTTAACTACTCTCAAGACTTTCTTTGTTTTTTATTTCCTTTCCTTCCAATTGGTCAGCTTTGATGGCTTCAAATTTTTTGTTGGAGCTTTGTTTTAGATCTTGAATGGACTTCTTCCTTAATTTGGTTTTGTTTTATTCTCAAATCCTTTAGTTGATTAATTTTGGTTTCATTGGACTCCCTTCCCTTCTGTTGGGCTTCATTCAGCATTCTCTTTGTGTCCTCCCTGGATTCCTCCAGCTTTCTCTTTGTAGATTCCATGAATGCCTCTATTAATCTTTGTTTATTCCCATCCCACTCACACAATTGCTCTATGAATCTTTGGTTAGCCTCCTCACACTCAAGAAATTCCTGTATTAATCTTTAGTTAGCCTCATCACATTCACAGATTTCCCTATCATACGCACACAGAGTCCTTTACAGGCTTTCAGTCTTTTCATTCAACACATTTACCAGTGGTATTTGTAGAGCATTTTGGGAACTCTCTCTGGATTATTCATAAACTGCTCTGTGGCCTGATTATCATGAGTGGGAGTTGAAATACCTGGACTTGCCATTTTTCTTGTGTTTCTCCAGCTTGTCCTGCCCATTTGGGTATGAAAGCAATACCAATTCCATGCTAGAACACTATTTTAAGGCAATCATCAACCATAGCTCTGCAGTTGCCCAGACTGTTTGACTCAGTTAAAATGAGTACAAATACAATCTAGTTCTACAGATACAACGTAGTCCAACAACAGCTAGGGATCAATGGACTAAAAACTTCAAAGATGGAGTCAGCAGACCAGAAATTAATAAGTTTAGGGAGATAAATAAGATTAGAGGAATGTAGGGAGGGAAAAGGAGAGAGGGAATATAACCAAGACCTAAATTCAGAGCAAGCAGAGGGATAGAAGGAAAGGAGAAGAGAGATAAAGAAAAAGGAAAAGTGAAAAATAAAAAATTTAAAATGAAACTTAAAAACTTATACAAGTATAAAGAAATAATGCTACAATTAAAGGAGTTAAGGCTGAGAGTTTGTGAATTGAGTGACTGATGTCTGAATTAAGTATGTACACAATGAAGGATAATGCCTACAATTAAGAAACAAAAAGGACCAAAGGGAAAAAGTTAAAAGAGAATTTTTTAAAAAGTAGAAAATGATGAAACAAATAGAAAACAATTTTTAAAGAAAAAAATTTTAAAATTAGAAAAAAGAGTTCTTTGATTTTTTTTTTTGGGGGGATGGGGGATTTGTGTCTCCCCAGTCTCTTGATGGAGTCTCTAGTTTGTTTGAGGTGTTTGGTTTTCCTGTGGCTTGATCGGTTTCTTAAATCAGTTTGAACAGGCAGAAAGAACCTCTGCCTTACCAGGGACTTTATGACCCTCCTCCCAGGCTAGTTCAGTAGGAGGGTGATCTGCTTTGAATGTCACAAAAGAAGGAGATGGCTGTTTCCTCTAGCTTGGAGTTGCTGTGATGGGGCTAGGTTGTGGGTAGCATTGAGGCCTGTGAGCAAGCCATAGCTTTTCCCTGATGGGCTAGCTCCTGAAACACTCACAGAGCCCAGCCTGGAGACATTCTCAGAATTTATGTGTTTTTTTTTTAATTGTGAAAATACAGTACAGAAGGGTTACAATTTACCCCTGTTTTCACAGAATTTATGTTTACTGAGATTCCAATTGTTTTTCTTTTCCCTTCCAGCAGCTCAGTCTGCTGCCCAAGTTACAGTGGGGTGGGGCAGCCTCCGGCTCTGTTTACCCAGTGGAAAAAGTCACTCCTCCATGAGCAGAGTTTTCTCTGCCTTGGAAGCACACCTTTCTGCTGGGGTGGTGCTGAGCCTTGCAGATCAGGATCTTTTGACCTGTTGAATGGCTCCTTTCGAAGGCCTGAGTTAATGGTGCTAGCTGCTCTGGCCAGGTCTTTGTCAGTGTACAGTTGGGGGAGGGGAGGGGTTACCTTCCCACCATATCTTGTGTGGTCCTCATGCTTTTCCCTTGGTTTCTGGATCATACACAGTCTGCGACTGTCTGTGGTCAGCAACATGGCATTTTCTGTTCCTTCAGTTCTTGCTGGTGGTGAGTAGAATCTGCTTGCACACCACCTCTGGTGCCTTTGCCCATGCTCTCTCTCTTGGTATGGAGGCTGCTGCAGCAGCCACTGGTGACACCACCACAGAAACCAGCACGTGCTCGAATCTGTCTCCTTAACCAAGCTGCCTCTCTGGCCAAACTCTCTATACCATGATGGCATACTTGGTATGATTGTCTAGCCTTAGACTTTTCACTTGCACACTAAAACTGCTTTCTATGCAAGAGCTTGTTTAGCCCCCAGCATCTCCTTTGCCAGCTTCCTCTGGATTCCTTTAAAAATGTTTTGACACAACCTGTCACTAACCTCATTGTTTCCTTGAGGAAGTATTGTTTTCATTGTAGTTGATGCTATTTAGTGTGTGAATGCATGGTCAGACTTACATTGCTGTGCCATTTGGAGATATTTTCAAACAGCACATAAAAGCACTCAACAATAAAAAAGAAATATACAAAATTTTTACATGAGTTGGAATGAATTATTACAGAATTCAATCTTAAATTTTCTGCTTGGTTTCCAATGCTTATAATTGCATTGCTCCTTGATCATCTCTTTCTCAATCTGAAACTCTTGTGCTTAAGTCTGCTTTTCATTGGAAGGCAAAAAATTATAACACCATAGTCCAGAGAAATTGGTATAAAAGATGTATGTAGGCATAAACTACTTTTACTTACCATGCCAGAGATTTGTACCAATTGGTCTACAACTCGTTTATGAAAACAAGAAAACGAGTGGGTCACAAAAGCTAAGAGAACCAGCTAACCCAGGACTCACCTGCTTCTTCTTTAATCTATTAATAATTTTAAGAGTTAACTGAAATAACAACAAACTGAAAACTCCATTGCACAAGGTGCACTAAGAAACTGAATGAGCTTGGAATTAGATTCTCTACCATCAAGGATCCCAATAAAAATGCAGCCAGGTGAAAGTTTTACTTCAGTCTCATGAGATCCTGAGTAGAGGACACAGAAAATCTAAAGCCAGTTCTTTGACCCAGAGAATGTTTGATATTTGAGGTCTCAGAAACCTAATCTGCTAGGAAAAGATACTGCCAGAAAAGTGAATGCTGAACATCTATGTAACTTACTGAAAACGTGTGCTTTTCTTTGTAATTTCACAAAACATACTCTTCTCAATTTTATTTAACTCTATACTTGCATTGAGAAAAAGGAAATAAAAATTTAGGAATTGGAATAAACAAAATTATTGTTATTTATAGTGGCTTACATTATTTTGGGCTTTATATATAGAAAATGAAAAATAAGTTGTAGATAAAATATTCAAAGAGGTGGGCGCCAGTGGCTCACACCTGTAATCCTAACTAGTCAGGAAGCTGAGATCTGCAGATGACAGCTCATAGCCAGCCTGGGCAGGAAAATCCATGAGGCTCTTATCTCCAATAAACTACTCTGAAAAAGCCATAAGTGGCACTGTGGCTCAAGTGGGAGAGTGCTAGCCTTGAGCAAAAGAAGCTCAGGGACAGAGCCCAGGTCCAGAGTTTAAGTGACAGGACTGGGAAAAAAATTCAAATGAAAAATATAAGGATTTTCAGAGGGGGAAGTGGGGCCAGGGCATGGAGGAGACAAAGGAAGAGAAGAAGGGAGAAAGAATACCGTCAAAAATCAAATTCATAGCTGGCCCGAGTGGCTCATGCCTGTAATCCTAGCTATTTAGGAGGCTGTGGGTCATGGTTTGCAGCCTGCCCAGGCAGGAAAGTCTGTGAAACTCTTTATCTACATCCAATAAACTACTCAGAAAAAGGCAGAAGTAGTGCTGTGACTCAAGTGGTAGAGTGCTAGCCTTGAGCACAAAGAAGCTTAGGAACAGCACCCAGGCCCTGGGACTTGCAAACAAAAAAATTCAATGCATATCCCACAAAATTAAGGAAAGGGAAGGAAGAGGTGGGTTAAGAGAGGTAGGTCAGAATGTTGAAAGGGGTGATATTGATCAAGATAACACTGTATTTATAAACTACTGTTTTGAATGGCAACTCATTTGTACAACTAGTTAAAAACTTAATAACTTTGCACAATTATTTAGCTGGTCATATTTCTGCTAATGTAACCAAAATACCTGAATTAATCATTTTTAATGAAGGATAAATCCTCAGCAGAGGACTTTTGGGGGGCATTTCAGATTCAAACTATAGTACCAATATGAAAAATAACTATTTTTGGTTCTAAACAAAGAGTAATGAAATTTATAAAAAGATAAATGCCTCTGATTCAAAATTTCTCAACAGTATGCAGTTCTCTCTAACAGCAAATGAGGGTAGAGTTGTGGAGAACTGGCATACTCCTGCCTTACAGCCTGGGCAGTTGTGTGGATCATTTGGGGCTACTTCACTGCCATATGTCTGGAGGACTACCATTTTGGGTTCCAAGTGTTTGGGTTATGTGTTTCTCCCCTGCCACTCTCCAAGATGAAACCACCATCCATTAAAACTGAGTACTGACTGACCCCTAGTGAGCACACAGAAGTCCTGCCTCTTCATCTCTGGCACAGTCAGCTTTCCAAAGCAATGGCACCTAGCCTGCCCCTGATGAATATTCCTCTCAGAAAGACTATCAGGCAGCCCACAGCCCTCAATCTCCACTTTTGACTGACTTATACCTGAGTCCTATAATCTAAAATTCTGCCCTTCCACTGCACAGCTCAGCCCTGATAGAAGGTTTGAACTCCATACCAGTCTCTGGGATACCATGAGCTACAAACAACTATTGTCAGGTGGTGTGAACAATAATTTATTGTCCTGGAAGGGTGGAAGAATGAAGGTGTTGGGTAAGCAATAAGCAAAAATGTTTACTGAAGAAGGAAAACACTTCTGTGGGAGAGAATCAAAAAGACTGGACCATGGCAATGTCATTATCTAAGGAATTTTACCTACTTCATCTGGTTGATTTTTGGAAGATCTCTAAAACAGTCCTCAAGTTGGTGTGACTTTTTCTCTCTAATCTGCAAACCGAGCCATGTCCTCTCTGTATCACCCAAGACTTGAGCTTCCCTGAAAAAAGGCCAGCATAATTTCTTGGTTTCCTATGTCTTTCTTGATTGTGAAGTTGAGTCAGAAGTCTTCATCTTATTTTCTTTAGTTATTGTTTCCTCTAGAGAGAACCAGGAGTCTCAGCCAGGCTGGCAGCTGATTCTGCTGTTTCCTGGCTATCATTTACTACTGAGACTCTAGAAACTCCTCAGAGACCATTTGGGTTTAACCTGCCCTGAAGCACTTGGGTCCTGTCAGTTTCTATACTTGATTCATACCATGCTTCTTATCCTCTTTCAATATGTAAATCTCCTGTAGCCATGCCCTCTCTTCATTGGCCTGTTGTAACTGGTGGGACCATCTTGACTTTCGGACATTCCAGAGAATTGTAAATGGAGTATGTCACACATGGCTGGCTTCCTTTGGATGGAACGCCTCTATTCCACTTCCTGTGGCTGCCTTCTCCAGCAGTAAAAGTGGAAGACTTTTTTTCTAGTTCAGAGTTGAGTTCCTGTAGAACTTTGGTGCTTTTGTTCATTTTCTCTGGCTTCAACTTTAGAACATTTTGTTCTTCAATAAGCTCCTTTCTGTGCTTGTTGACCTACTTCTGCTAAGAGGAGATGGCAAAAAGAAGGATTTCTAGCTGTGCCACAAGCAATTGGGAAGATTGCAGATGGTGGCTAGATTCTCCAGCTCTCCTGCGTTCTGGCAGGGGCCTGCTACACATGGGCCAACGCTGTGTGTTAGTTCTGATTTTTCAGATACTAGAATTTCAATAGTTTGCTTATGAAGCTACAAGTTTTATTCCCCTTTCCTTGCCCATGGACCAACATCTTCCTGCATTCATTCTGTTTTTGTAATTCATCTGGAGTGTGTTGGTGAAAAAGGGCAATTGGGTCTGACCAGTGCCATCTTGGCCACATGGTAGATAGTAGAGTCTGGCATCTTGTCTGCATGGTGGGGGAAGGTGAAGCCCCTCCCTCCCAGGTGATGGGCATGCCTGAATCCCTGGAAGCAGGAGCAGGCAGTTGGCTGATAGGTTACTAAACCTGACAGTCCAGTACTTGAGACTAGGAGTTACCTGTGACCTTTCCATCTGACATGGCCCTAGTTAGGCCCAGAGCAGCTCAGGCACCATTACACCATGTCACATATCTCCATGTTTGTGTCCTGTCTCTTGGCTTTTCACCTGTCACAATAGCTTCCCAATTCAGTTCTCCAATGGGGCTGAATTGGTTTGTTGGTACTGTTTTTGTTCTTTCTTTCCTCCCTGGCCTTCAAGGCTCAGTTTTCTAAGTGTTAAGGGTATTTGCTGGCTGCTGGTCTTTGAGAGAGGAGTCCACTGTGCAGTCCCCAGACTTTTAATAAAGACGCCAGGATTCAACTTCTCAAAATGTGGCTTTCTCACCTTACAACATTGGGTTTAATCAAATTTTCTATCCTCTTGGTGAGCTGTGAGGCTAGATCTCCAGCAGGAGGTAAGCGTAAATGATGAGCACAAGGAAAACACGCCAGGAGAATAGGCTTAAGTAAATCTCGTTTATTTCCGTGCAAGGGGGGAATTTTTTAGCCCCAGCTTTCCCAACCTCCTGAGTCCTTCCTGGCCAATCACTTAGCGGGGAGTTAATATAAGGCACTTGTGACGTGCACTGATTGGTGACGGGCACTGATTGGTCCCTCGGGGGCATGTAGGGGGCATGGGCAGCTCATGGCTAGCAAGCCAGGCAGACATGCCTGTGGGTCACGTCTCTATGAGCAGGAAGTGTGCTTCTACTGCTGCTCTAGCTGACTTGAATTGTGTTAAACAGGTTTGCATGGTTGTAGCATCTTTATGTGCTATTAAAATGTCATCCATGTAATGGACACAAAAGCATTTTTAAAGCAAAGGCCTAATAGCATGGGCAACATACATCTGACATAGTGTAGGGCTATTTTTCATTCCTTGAAGGAGAACTTTCCATTGATATCGACTAGTGGGTAGCTGACAGTTAGGTTCCCATACTGAGAAGGCAAAATATGCTTTATCTTTGGGATGTAGGGAGATGGGAAAAAAGCAGTCCTTGATGTCAGTAATGGCAATGTGCCAAACTTTGGGTACTGCAGAAGGGTGAGGGAGTCCGGGTTGAAGTGTTCCCATCTTTTTCATATGACTATGGAACGTAGGTCATGGAGAAATCTC